CTATGGGCAAATGTCCATGTGACAGCTCCCACAGAACGTGTTAAAATACAGAGGTCTTGCTACTGTATTCTAAGATTCTCTAACTTGTTCAGCATTTCTTCTAGACTAATTTGTTATCATATAATGTACCAAAAGCTTATAGATTCATTTCATTCCTTTCATGATATAGTGCTCCTACAAGTACTTCTATCAACTTATAGAAGCTTCTACACTCTGGAAGCTTCTAGATACTTAACGTTCGTGTATATAAAGACATTTTCTCTTCTTTAGTTAGTCAATCCTTAAGCAAGCAAGCAAATACAATTGAAGCAATACAATACAGTCTACTCCTATAGTGCAGAGTTTACTGTACTCTTCTGTCTTGAGAGCAGAGTTCTCTCTAAGACCTCTCTTACAACATCCCTCTATTATCTTTGCTACTATGCTGCTTTCTTCAGCACTGCTGTCGTACTTTTTACCGCTTCCGCTCCGCTCTGCTACAAGTGCATAGTTCACTGTAGCATCTCTATACTGATGCTATTATTATAAACCAGTTAGGGCATTGCAGCAAACAGCCTTCTATACTACAAGGTAGTACAAGGTAGTTACAAAGCATAGTACCAGCCACACGTTAACAGTTATTTTGTAGAGGATTTGGCGGGTAGCAACATTTCCCGGACATCCGAAGGCCTCCCCCCACAGTCGCGCTAGCGGATCATACAGTCGCTCTAACCGGCTCGACGACCACCCTCAAACTCGGGCAGGTTACAATATGGATCTGCAGATGGGGCACCCTCATGCGGAAGAGTAGGAGAGGGGTTAGGCTGAACTAGCGATCTATCTGAAATTTCTGAAAGAAGAACGTTTCAGAAATTTCATGAAAATTTCCGAAAAAATGGGATCATTTTCCATCCTTTCAAGACCCACTAGCAGCATCCTCTAAGATCCAGCGCTGGAGAGCCCCTGAAGTCAGTCAAGTCTGCCTTGTAGCTAGCTATGAGTGATAGTGCACGAACTCGTGCACGGGCCCTGAATTTCAGAAAAATGCCATTATTTCAGAATAAGTCGATCTCTAGGCTGAACGCCCAACCAATACAAGGACATGGCAGGGGATGGAATGTGGGCGGCCGTTATTCGAGGCCCAATCTTGGGAGCTCGGGAATGAGAAGAAAAAGCAATGTCACCGAATGTGACGGTGGGATATGGTTAGGTATATAAAGATGGTGTTGGCGCTTTTCCCACCCTTCGCCTGGTCTTCAACCGCTGCGATGCCCAGGCTGGTCATTGGCATGACTTGGTGATTGACCGGTGTCGATACTGCTTATGACTTACCTGTTTCGATTAACTGTTTACTTACTGTGATACCCCTCTGCGTCGAGTTTTTGGAGACTTGCCACTAGGTTTGCTGGAAGAAAGAGTGGAAGGAAGAGGAAGAAGGAGACAAGATGGTTTACCAACCGAAAAGACACCAGAGGATCGATGGCCCTGTCAACTTGCTGTCTTTGGGTATGTATCAATTCATAGCCCTCATACGACGAGACGAAGCTAACAACATAACTCACTAGATGGCGGTGGGGTTCGTGGGATTTCAGAGGTGGTAATGCTTCACGGGATCATGCAGAGGGTGCAGAAACTCGAAAATCTCAAGGAGTTGCCGAAGCCATGCGAGTACTTCCACATTATGGGCGGCACCAGTACTGGAGGGTAAGTTTAGCTTTCTAAATCGCTTCATGGGAAAGCTTTCCCACGAAAAAGATCTTCTATCTGAGAGAAACGACCTTCTTTCCGAGACTGACATGGCTCCTTCCACAGACTGGTAGCAATCTTGCTCGGTAGATTGCGCATGTCCACCGAAGAAGCCCTGGAAAAATATCTTGACCTGGGAAAAGTCATCTTTCACAAGAGCAACAAGAAGAAGTTCGAAATCAGCGCAAAATACGGACCAGAGGCACTCGTAACAGCAGTCAAAAAGCTCGTTCAAGAGCGAAATACTAGCGAGCTCATGTACGACCCGACTGATGAGCCGACTACCGGCAAAGTGTTCGTTTGCGCCGTAAATTCCGCCAATATTAGTGCTCCTCAACGCTTTCGCACCTACGCTTCGAAGGACAAGAAATACAGCAACTGCAAGATCTGGGAAGCAGCAAGAGCGACTGCGGCGGCGCCAACCTTCTTCGCTCCAATGACGGTCAGCGACAGTGACGTCCAGGAAGAATTTCTTGATGGCGCGTTGGGATACAACAACCCCATAACTGAAGTGTTGAACGAAGCAGGCACATCACTTGATCCAAACCTCAAACTGGGATGTATTCTGAGCCTGGGGTGCGGCACCAAAGCGGACAAGACCCTCAGGAAATCTGGTCGGTGGTTCGGCCAGGGTGTGACTTGGGGCTTGCGAATGGCCAAAGTGATGAAGGAAAGTTTGACGGACCCTGATCCCAAGCACATCGACGTTTCCAGATTCCTCGACGCGTGGAACGAGACATACTTTCGCTTCAGTGTCCCCGGCGCGGCCAATGAGGTTAAACTGCCGGACTACAAGAAAATGAAGATGCTGAAGAAGATGACAGAAGACTACATGGATCATCCTGAAGTCGCAGCTCAGTTCGAAAAGGTTGCTCAAATACTTGCAGAAAGGAAAACAGAAGGGGCGTGGATTGGTTTGGTCTGTAAGTGCACCAAGGCACTTCCAGTGACTCTTGTCGTTCGGAGACTTACTTTTGTACAGGTCAGCTGGAAAAGAGTGCGGTAGCCATGTCGCTACAAGCTCGTCCTATGGGATTGTCTAGCAACTTCTTCACCGGAAGGGATGACATTCTCAGGAAGATGGTGAAAGCGTTGCTTTCAAACCCAGATGGGGGCAGCCAGCGACACCAGGAATATCTTCTCTGGGGCATGGGCGGTATTGGAAAGACCCAAATCGCCCTGAGGTTTGCCGAGATTTACGGAAACAGGTAACAGCATGCCTTGAACATCAACATCTACCTGGACTCTCACTGATTTGGAAGCAGGTTTGAGTACGTCTTTTGGCTTGATGCTACCAACAAAAACACGGTGCAACAAAGCTACCACAGCATTGCGTTACAACTTGGGATACAAACGGATAAAGCCGAAGAATCTCAGGCTGTTGTCCTGCATTGGATGAATGCCTCCAGTGGCAAATGGCTTCTCATTTTCGACAATTACGCTCACAAGGGCGACGAATATGGGCAGTACAACAAGATTACCCCTAACAGAGGTAATCTGCTGTATTCCAGCAGAACCAACACACTTCTACAAAGGCTAGGTCCAGAGCATGTCTCAGAAGTCCGGGAGATGGACGACAATGAAGCCACAACCTTCTTCATCAAAACTCTCCACCGCACAATCGTGGATCCGGAAGAGCGACAGCAGTGTACGGCTCTAGTCAAGGAGCTGGGATGCCTGCCATTGGCAATTGACCAAGCCGGTGCCAACATCCACATGACAGAGCGCAACATTGAAGACTATCTCACAGAGTTCCGAAAAAGGCGAGACAGATTGTTGAGGGAGAGACAGGAGTCAACAACAGGCATAGACATGGAAGGTGATCCGGCAGTATATGCCACCTTTGACATGTCGTATCTGGCCCTCCGCAGACAATCCCGAAGGATCAACGAAGACCAACACGCACGCGACTACGAAACAGCCATGAAAATCCTCAACATCATCTGTTTCTATCACTACGATAACATACCTGAAGAGATGATCATGAGAGCGGCCAACTGGCGAGGCGAGATGCTCGAGAAGGAAGCTGGAGAATCACAAATATCCATTGATGACCAACTCGGTGGAGACACCGACCGCAACGCTAACGTCATTATTGAGCTCGACGAGGACCGAAAGTGGGATCCGACTTGGTTCCGCCGCGGTGCAAACATCCTCAAACAGTTTTCTCTCGTGAGGATAGACCGACATCGGTCGCTGTCCATGCACGTGTTAGTTCACTCCTGGGCCAGAGACAGACTGGATACATCAGCCAGAGACCAATATGGATTCACCGAGAAGGAATCCTACGCGCTTTCTGCTCGATGCATTCTGTTCGAGTCAATACCTGAATCGCCTCGTCCAGAAGAGTTCAGCTACCGGACCAAGCTCATACCCCACGGCCTCGCACTCAACGAACACGCACCTCCGACAGCCATCGGTGATCTGTACCGTGAAGCTTATTATGACAAGCTCTGGGCCCGCGCCAATGAAGATGTTGGCAACTGGGAAGAAGCAGAGAAGTTTCTCATCTCCTCTATTAAACGATATAAGATGGTTGGCTGGCTGGACGAAGGACGCGCCATCAACGCCATAGACCAACTAGGGCATTTTTACGTCAATCGTCAAGAATGGCACAAGGCCCACATGGTGCGCCTGGAAGCCTACGAGCGATGGAGATACATTTGCTTCAAAAAGGACAGGCTCAGATACGTCCGAGAAGAAGACGGGAAGGAACTTGAGACTGACTCTGAAGAATATATTACGCCCAAAGAAGCGGGAGAATACTGCCAACATGTGATCCTCGCCCTCCGCCGCCTAGCCGATCTCTTTTTGCTCGCTGGAGACCCCGAAGGTCGACTCGAAGCCCTCAAAAAGGCCGACAAGATGACCTGGGAAAGCGGCATCAAATCTCACCATGAATATTTCCAACCCTGCGGCGACTTGATAATCGAGACAGAGTACCAGATAAAGAGGGCCCAAAATCCTGAGGCCACGGCGAACATGACCACGGAAGAACAAGATCAGCAGGATAAGGAGATTGCGATGAAGAAGGCGGAGTACCGCAAGAAACACAAGCTCGTCGATGAAGAAACGTTCCTTCACAAACAAGACGCGTACCGCAAGGACATCCTCTCTTCCACCACGCTCTCCCTTCAGGAAAAGACCGACCTCTTGTGGGCCCACTACCAGGAACTCAGAGATATTTACGGCGACGATGACCAAATAACCTCAATGGCTGAGGATTACTTGGCCAAACTCCCCCTTCTTATTCCCCGACAACAACAGCAGCAGCTCGAACTAAAAACGCAACAACCTCAACCCCAAAACCCCATTCCCAACCTCCCCTGCCCGCTCCTTGTCCGCCGCCACGTCCTCTCTCTCGCCTCCAAAAAATACGGCAAAACCCACTCCCATACCCTCGTCTGCCTCGCCCACCATGCCGAAGCCGTTTACAACTTAGGTCGTCTGCGTGAAGCCTTAAAACTCTCCATCGTCTTCAAGGACATGGTCACGAGCATCCATACCGCCAGCCACGATTACTCCGTCGAAGCCGCCAAGCGCATCAAAACCATCAAGGCCGGTGACCCTAGGTTTTTTGAGAGCGTCAGGGCGAAGGGAGTAGGCGGCTGTTTTGCGGGCTGCACAGCGCAAAGCCACCGCGAGACGGCAACCAAACTAAACGTGCGGAATTGGCTGAATGCCAAGGGGGAAGTGAGGGAGGTGGTAGGTGATTTAGAAAGAGGTTACATGGAGATGATGAGGGAGACCAGGCAGAATAGGGAGGATTTGGAGCTGGCGGAGGGGGTGTGGAAGACGAAGGAGGAGGAGGGGAGGAGGGGGGTTCAAATGGGACGGGAGGAGATGGTGATGATGATGCAAGTTATGAATTGATTTCTGATGATGTGCTGGATTCAATGGATGAGGGTGGACTAACACTTTCTTTTTTTTTCTTTTGCAGGAAGTTGTTTTTGTTTTTCATTGTGGTCTTGGTGATGAGGAGGTGGAGGGAGAGGGAGAGGGAGAGGGAGAGGGAGAGGGAGAGGGAGAGGTTTGGGACATGGAGGGGAAGAGGGGGTTACTAGGTACCTCTAGACACCTACCTACCTCTACGTGTACATTGTCAGCTCGAGACCTAGGGTCAACTCTCCTGGGCGTTTTCATGTTTATTTTTGCTCTATTATCAACGCCTCGTATCTAAGTTGAATATGCCGATGGCGATGTTGAATATGCCGATGTTGGAATCTCGATTATGCACTTTCGATTAATCTTTCGTAGGTATATCCCCATACCCACCTAATCCTCTCAATACGGTTTCCTAAGGAGGTTTTTGGGACACAAATTGGGCTTGGATCTCGTCGAAAATACCAGGTGTACCAAACTGAGGTAGATCAGAGGTAGATAATAAATGAAGCAGCATTATACTGTACTTCACCAAGCCGTCCAGAGATGCTACTTACTTCCACGCGGCTTTTCGTCTATCGAGGATTGTGATTCCTTCGTTCCTTTTGTTCATTCGTTCATTTGTTCGCGTCCCATGATGCCCGAGAGCTTCGCGAAACACCTCCCCACCCCCTTTTCTTCCCCCTGGGGTCGTCCCCATCTCTTGGTTTCTCTTCGCATATATGCCTTGCATTTTACTCACCTGGATTTATCACAAACCGCTGAGCCGCTATACCTGTAAGGTGGTCGTAGGCCATCTTTGCTTAACAGAAACATACACATTACACTTATCAAAACACAAAAGCTTTCATTTGTACAAGGATCATATTACGACTGGTTCTGCCCGGACTCTCCACCGTCACCGTCCTGAAGATCTCCTTCTGTTCCGCGCTTTTGGATGGCTTGCATGAGCTCGTATAGTTGGCCGATTTGCTCGTCTGTGTTGTGTTTGGTTTTGTTAGTTGATGGGCATCAAGAAGGGTGGGGAAGAACCAGTAGAGAAGAAGAAAGAAGAAAAGGCAACAGAAAAGGGGAAAAATACGCACCACTCATCTTCTCAACCTTGCCCTTATCCAACTTCTCGCCCACCCACGAGTTTCCTTCAATCTTTTGAGCGTAGAGTTGCCACTCTGTTAGGAAGCCGATCTGTGAGATGGGTTGTCTGTGTTAGTCGATGCTCTTGAAGAGAATTTGCGTCCTGTCCTGTCAAATAACAGCCCTTCTCCCACTCCTGCACTACGGTCCAGATTCGCCAAGGTGGTTTCTTCATCCCTTTCTCCCGTTCTGTCCACCCAGATTGCTCTGATTTGTCGAGCGCGCTCCTTTATCCTCCTCTTGCCACAGCAGCTATCTCATTCCGACAAGATTTTGGCCCTGGCTTCTCCAGATCCAGCCCTTTCACCTGCTCAACGACATGCCCTGCCATCCAGATCCCTTCATTCCCCATAGGCCGTATTCCCTCTCTCATCTTCCTCTCCTCAATCGAGACGGTTTCCAGCCTCCTTCCTCGTTTCGTAGCCCCCTCATATTCTACTCCCGGGCGTTCCCAATCCACAGCCCATCCAATCTTCGTTTTCTCCTGTGCCTTTTGTTGCGTTGCGCACTTCATCCTTCACCACCACCTCCTGTATCACCTTCACTTCACTTCCCACCTCTCTCTTCCGACCCACCCACTTTCCAAGCCCTTCTCACCCCTTCCCCCCTTTCCCCCTTCCCTTTCTGGTTTCTTCTTAACCCAACCCCCATCTTCGTCTTCCTCCTTCCCATCCTCTCCCCATCCCGTCCCATCCGGATCTTTCACCCACGACCTCCACCCAAAGAAAATTCAAAAGAAAAGAGAGAAAAAACTCACCAAATGCGCCGGGTTATCCACGCTCCGATGCGCCCTAAACTCGGCCTTCACATACTCGTCTCCCAAAAGTCTCATCTCCTGCGGGAGATGTTTCCTGTGGGCCCGCAACAGTCTCCGGTAAAGATAAATGGGCGGCAGCAGGGCCATGGGGCCGGGGGTCATGCCGTGGTCTTTGGAGGAGTTGAGGGCTGCTGCTAGCCTGCGGGCGGTGGGGCGGAGGGCGTTCATCTTTGTGTCTTTTTTTGGGACTTGGTTGGGGTGTTGAGGGTTGAGACTGAGCGGGCGATAAATGTTGAAAAGATCAGAAAAAGCCAAGCTGAAAAGACCTGAATCTAGATGGTTGAGTAAGGAATGTGGCAGGGAGGCGTGACGGCGAAATTGAAACCCGGGAGTTTAAGTTGATGGTGATGCGTTGAATGGCGTTGCCGAGAGAGTTCCGGGCTGGCAAGTGCGGCAATGCCGGATTTGCGCGGTTGGAGGGCAGCAGTTGATGACAAGTGCCAAGGCCGGAGATTAGTGGGTCTTGGTCCACTTTTATTCACTGTGCTGCTGGAGCCCCCTGGACAGTGGACTGGCACAACACCAACGATGATATCACGATGTAAACAAATCATACTTGGTCACCTTTTGAAAATGAAAGCCATTCATTAAACACCTCCTAATCTAGGGTATCCGTATTCTAAGTTTCCCCATCCACCAATCTTCCCTGTCTCTACCACAGCCTTATATACACGACCATCACCTCCTCTCCTCTCCCCTCCCTTCTTCCCCTTCCCTTGCAGGAACATCTCATTCCCGTCCGTCTGCAACATCAACAAGCCAAAGCCTCAGCAATCCACCCCGCCTGAATCGCACTCACCTTCTTCGCGTAATTCTTCTGCGTATACACATGTTCCAAAAACATGATGGCCTCCCTCTTAACGCCATGCATCGAGCTGCTCGGGTGAATAGCCACGACATGTTTCCCATGCGCCGTCACATAACTGCTATCCGGCGCCAAGACCGCCGTCTTCATTGCGAACCCTCTCAGGAAAGCCTTGAGGATCCTCTCTGCCGTCTCGGGCGAGACGGGCTGGTACGTCACTTCCGAGTCGGGGGGTGGTGCGTCCTCGAGCATCTTCGTCTTGACGGAGAGGGAGCGCAACTGTTTGCGAATGTTGAGCGCTTGACGCATATTCCGCACGTTGATGCGTCTCTGCTTGCAAAAGGTGGCGCGGTCGGAGGACGGTGTAGAGACGAATCGTTGCATCGTGTTGAGGTAAGTGATTAGGTCGCCTTCGCGACGTTGTAACTCCTTGCGGTAGACATCGACGGATTCTTTGTCCTCTTCGGAACGGACTTGCATGAAGATGTCGTCGCCGGCAGTGATGCAACTGATGATGTCGATAGCTTCCAGCAGGCAATCGTATTTCTGGTCGGCAGCCGCCAAAAGCACGCGCGCGTAGGGCGCCGTGACGGGGAACATGACCATTTTGCGGCCCATTTCCGTGATGCGCCCCTCGTCATCTAGTGCGCCTAGGACGTGTAAGTGCACGAGAGCGTTTTCGACGGCTTCAATTTCCGGCCGGTCCATAAGCGGGAAGGCGAGCACGTCGTCGATGCCGCGGGCTTTCATCGTGAGGATTGCACCTAGGACGTCCGTCCGCAGAATCTCGGGGAGGTCCGTCTTTTGGAGGGTAGAGAACGTCTCGGCTGTGTACAGGCGGAAGCATTTACCGGGCCCTTCACGGCCGGCACGACCCGTTCGTTGGATGGCGGAGGACTTGGAGATGGGTTTTGCCAGCAAAGATTCCATGCCCAGACGGGGACGGTATTGCTTCACTTTGGCCTTGCCGCAGTCGACGACATAGCGCACGCCGGGGACGGTGACGGAGGTTTCGGCGATATTGGTCGCCAGCACGATCTTGCGCGTGAATGGGTGTTTGATAGGCTGGAAGGCTTCGTGTTGGGCTTCCATGGAGAGCTGGCCGAAGAGGGGGAAGACCTTGACTTTGGGCACCTTGGGGTCGAGAGTCTCGGCGAATTCTTCGATCAGACGCTGGGCGGCTTCGATTTCTTCTTGACCTGTCAAAAAGCACAAGATGTCTTTCTTGCCGTGCTTATCGGAGAGCGGCTCTTGGGTGTGGATCTTGAAGACCGTTTTGATGAGGGCTTCTTGGATGTCCGGAACGGGTTTGGGCTCATGGATGACTTCGACGGGGAACTGGCGGCCTTCGATCTGTAGGTATTCGACTTCCTCTCCTGATGTTCCGTTTTTGAGGCTGTCGTCGCTGGAAAAGAACTTCTTGATGCGCTCCACTTGGGCGGTAGCACTCATGACCACCACCTTGAGCGGGATCCCTCCACGGCCGGCCTTGTCGCCCGTGACAATCTGCTTGAGGAAACCGGACAACAAATCGACGTCGACGCTGCGCTCGTGGATTTCGTCCACGATAATGGCCGAATACTGTCGTAGATGCGGGTCCCTCAGCAGTTCCTGCAGCAACATACCTTCCGTAACGTACTTGATCTTCGTTCCCGGCGGTACTCGGTGGTCGAAACGGACTGAATAACCAACCAGTCCCTTCTCCTGCTCTTTCTTGTCCTTCTTCTCGTTCCCATTAGCTTCAATCACCTCCTCATCATCTCCTCCATTCTTCCCCATCTCCTCAACCACATCCTTTTCCTCATCCCACTCCTCCCCATCCTTCCCACCCTTTGGGCCCTTCACATCCTTCCCTTTCGGCCCCCTTCCTTTATACCCTCTGCCACCATTCCCACTCGTATCCAACGGCGTCCCGCACTCCTTAGCCACACGCCCCGCAAGAGTGGTAGCAGCGACCCTTCTGGGCTGGGTAATAGCAATGACTCCACCAACATTAACCGTCTCCTCCCTCGTCTTTGGTTTCCCTCCTTCTTCCATGATCTCATTCCCATCCTTATCCACTACCTTGGTCTTGACCTTGACTCTCCGTCGCTGACACCAGCGTTCTTGGTAGAGAAACTGCGGTACCTGGGTGGACTTACCCGAACCAGTTTCACCCACTAGTACTAGCACATCCTTCTTGGAGAGGATGGAGCGGATCCGGTCTTGGTAGAGGTAGAGCGGGAGGGTGCGGCGGGTGGGGAACAGAGATGGGTCTCCGGTGAGAGGACGGGAGGGTTTAAACTCCTTGGAGTTTGTTGTTATCGAAGAATCATTTTTGCTTGTTGGGGCTGGGGTGTTGTTGTCTGATGTTGATGTTGAAGGAGTGGTAGTCTTTGGTTTCTTGGTGAGGTAACCTTCGAGGGAGATGGTTTTGTTTCCAATTTTGAGGACTTCGCCCGAGTCGGCTTTTCTTTTGCGTGACATTTTGAAAATATGTGGCGAGGTTGTTGACTTGGTGATGATGAAGCCAGGAAATGGTGAGAAGTGGAGGGAGGATTGGGTGAGAGGATGAATGAATGGGGTGAAATACGCTGGGAAATGTATGAAGGCGTGCAAAGAAAAACGACTGGCGGGATGTGATTGGGTGCATTGTTAGAGGAAGTAAAAGGTGGGCCCGGTCAGGGAAGGTTGACGGCTGGCAGACGGTCTCCTGGCACTTGGCGGGGACTTGATCTGTCACTGCCGCTGGAGCAGCAGCCAACGTCAACTATAAACATCACCGACAGTTGAACTTCACTTTGACACAATTTTCGGTTCACGTAATTTGAACCTGCCTATTGTCATTCCGCTCTGCTATCTACCGATTTCCATACTCAAAAATCCAACGCGATGGTCAACCAAGCACAGAAAACGCCGACGGCGTAACAACCACCGACCCAACCTTGAACCCCTTCGGCCTCTGACCCGTCCTCACTCTCAAGTCCATCTTGATCTCAATCTCATCCACGTCCTTAACATCGACATGGTCCCCGACAGTAAACACATAATGCATATACGGACTCCTCACCGGCGTCTTGAAATCCAGACTCACGTCATGGACCTGTCCCAGCGCAAAGCTGAACTTGGTTAACGCGCTGTTGATCCCGCCCTTGGACTTGGGCTCCAGGTCCTCCCTGCCCGCCTCGTCACCGTACTTGTACTCGAACGTCACGTCCGTCTGTGGCACCTCGAACGTGTACTGGCGATACTTCTCGTCGTGCACGAAGAACACCCCGCCGAGCTGCACCTCCACGTCGATGATCCGCGTGTCGACGTTCGGCTGTGCCCGCGTGTTCTTCGCTCCGTGGAAGTAGATCTGGAGGTCTTCGAGGCGGATGTCGTACCAGTTGATGTCGAAGTCATAGGCTCCCGTGGCGGAGGCGTCATCTAGAAACAAGCTCAGACGTCTAGTGTCGCGGAACCGCTCGACAAGGTCTTTGTGCGGGCCCGTTTTGGAGATGGAGATGGTCCTTCCCCCGATGTGAATAGGGGGCTTGGTGTTGAAGGAACTCTGGTAGTCGGCCACTTGACGGCACAAGGCCGGGACAGTTGCGTCGCGCAAGAGCTTGGCGCTGACGTTGGACCAGCTTCCGAGAGGGAACAGCTGGCGGAGGAGGTCGCATCGGCGCAAGAAGACGCAGCTAGCTGCCCTGGAAGCGTCAAACAGAATGCGCAGAGTCTCGAGCTTGGCGGCGTGATGGAGCGAGCTGTACAGCGTGGTCAAGAGATCGAGCGCGGGAATGTCGGCGGAGAAGTTGGTCACTTGCAGCTTCGCTTTCCCGTGCTCGGCTTGCGCTTTGGTGGCCGCTGCCTGCGCGAGCGAGGTGAAGGTGTCGTTGTACGAGGTGACGGCTGCGTGGAATTTCTGCACCACTTCCATGTAGAAGTCGAAATCTTTGCGGGCTTGTTTCACCTCCTCTGGTGTGACGCCGTGTTGAGAAGCGTCCACGAAGTAGGTGTTGACCAACTCCTCAAAGTTTTTGCGGTTACCATCACCGAGTTTGACGTACTCTTTATCAATGCCAGAGAGCTGCTGCAACGAGGCGGTCTTTTGGGTAATGTCCTCCTTGAGGGCGGTCGAGACAAGAGTGTTCTCTACCACCAGCACTTTGCCGTGCAACGCATCCTTGGATACGGCTCCTTGTGGTGTAGATATGCTGGAACCCAGTTTGTTTAGACCCATACCGATCGTCAGGGCACCGCCGAGTTTGAAAGCGGTTCCGACGCCTGGGTGGGCGAAGAGGCAGACCGTGCCGATGGCTTCCAACACGGGACCCAAATCAGATGAAATGTCCCACTTGTGTGCATTCCACAGCTTCTCAACGGATTGTTGCACAGTCTTGCGAGCTTCCTGGACGGCATCGCGGGCGGATTTAACAGCCTCGTATCCACTAGCTGTGGACTTCTGAAGGGCGTCGATGGTCTTTTGAGCATCGTTCACAGCATCGGTGAGTTGGGCTTCTGACTTGCTCCTGGCCTCCTTCTGGCCAATGGCTTTCCCAATTTCATTCAGGCATTCCTTATAAGATCCCTCAATGGATTCGAGGGCTGTGAGTGCCTCGCCCACCGTGGTGAGGTGGATGTTCGGTTGAGAGATAAACTTGACGTCTTGGCCATAGAGATCTCGCTCCTGAGGAGTCGAGCAACGAGAACAAAAGGCCACAAAGACTTGCAGGAACCCGGATCGGATGTCCACGGAGTTTTTCCAGCCCTTTTTCTGGTAAGCCAGAAATTCCTGATATGCCGCACTGGTTGCGTATGGCGCTGATCCATGGGCATCAGGCAAAGCGTATGAAGAGCCCTGGTTCGACAGGCTGAGAATATCGTCGAAGCAGCACATCAACCAGTCAAAGGTCTCTTGAAATGCTTTTTTCAACGGTTCCAGCGTTGCGGTGTCTTCCGTGTTGTCGGGAGTGACAGCATACCCACTGAGGAGAATAGAATACTCGAACATGAGGCGCTCCATCGTCATGGTCAGTTGGACCACGTCCAGGGTTTCGGCCCGACATTCTTCAGCCAAGGCCTTTTCGTACTGGAGAAGCTCAGCACCTTTGTCACCGACAACCTGACCGACGACATGCCCGTCCGCCCCTGGCTGTCCGTTGGCTCCGTGCTGGCCTTCCCCGCCATCGCTGCCTTTCTTGCCGTTTTCCTGGTTTCTGACGCTACCGCCGTTTCCACCACTTCCTCTTGCACCACCACTACCGCCCTCGCCTCCTTTCCCTCCACTGACATCCTTCTTGACAAGTGATGCTCCGGAGTTAGCATCCTCCAGTTGCCCGGCCGACGGTCCAACAAGGCTGAGAATGAGACCTCCGGCGCCACCGTTTGCTCCTTTCCCACCTGACCCTCCATTTCCGCCCGTGGCGCCGTCAACACTCGCGCCCTTCTCTGTGCTGACTGAACCATAATGCTTCACGGTCTCTTCCGACGGGACAATAGCTCCGTTGCCGCCACTTCCGCCAGCCCCTCCATTACCACCCCGCCCGCCAGACCCTCCAGCACTCTTGATCACGATTTCCAAGTGGCGATTGGGATTCTGGCCGTCGTACGGAAGCAGCGTGACAGACCTAGCATTGAGAACAAACGTCCCAGCGGGCTGTCCACTGCTGCTACAGTCCCCGCCGTTGGTCCCGTTGCCGCCGCCCGTGGGTTTGGCGCTGGGTCTGAAAATCGTCTCCGTGATGCCCGACATAGCGTACATCTCATATCTGTGGTCCTCTTTGCCTTTTTCTCCGTTGTTGCCAGCGGTGCCGACGGCCGTAACACTCGCCCCGCTGGCGCCCGTGCAGTCGAAGATGACATTGTCACCTGCACCTGCAGTGACTGCAGTCGACGAGAACAGAACTACCCGGTTGGCGGTGATGATAACCGTCTTGCCAGGGAACTCAAAGGTGCTGCCTGCCACGAGGTAGAGGTTCTCGACGTGCAGACGGATGTGTTTGGTTGTGTATGCCCCGGCGATGGCGAGCGGGAGACGGACGGAGCCCTCTGGCGGGACTATACCCGCGCCGGAGAGGTGGGAGGGGAGTAAGGTTATGGACCGGTAAGCGACCAGAATGCGAGTTGTGTCGGCGGCTTTGTCGACGATGACACGGTAGAGAGAGGTGTCGGATATGTCGAGGTCTGTTTTCTTGTCGAGTGGCATTGTGATTATGGGGAGAAAGGAAGACCTGGCGAGTGTGTTGGGTAGGATGTGGATGGTAAGGTGGAAAGAGAAAGATATTGAAGTGGTCTCGAGCAGAAGTCTTGAAAAGGGAAGAGTATGGGAACAGCTGGGATGACTGGATCTGATTATATCAAGGCCGACACGGTTGGTCTTAAAGAGTCCAAAATCATCCGCAACGATTACGCCGTTTCCACTTACACGGCAAAGGAAGAACACATGCACATGAACGCTCTTGCTCGGATATCCGCGCCCCTTCACTGTTCCGGACCTCAATCCATTCTGAGAGCAAGTTCATACTAAACTAGCTAGGAGGCCTGTACTTGCAATGTCAAGTTTGTGGATGCACCAGGTACCGACCTCGAGGCCTCCGAGCTAAAGGCATGTGATACCTATATCCTGAGAAGCTATCGACGGGTATCAATAACATAGCTTATCGTTTACTTAGCGCAGTTCAGCCTCAAACGCCACCAACCCAAGCGGGTAGCAAGCTCAAAGCTGAACCGTAGCGCCGGTCAACCCCGGTGCTGCATACCTAACGCAAACCAGGTCTAGGCCCGTTCTATCCCATATACTATTGAAAAAGTCCCCGAGGCTGAAGCATACCTATCTCTTGATGATGTTGCAGCAAAAATGGGCGGAGGTGTCACAATGCCATGTCCTATTGTCTGCTCAGCTGAGACTATGCCATCAAGCTAGACCGAGACAAGACTTCAAAGAATTATTGGATTCATACTTCCAATAGCTTCGGCATCTCCTACACCTTTGATGTCTAGGTACTGACACCAAACTGAAGGAAAGCGATATTTCTCATGAGTCACAACATCAGATGATGGACGCGTCTGATAGCAAAGGCCTCCAAAGGGAGGAGGATATAGTGTCTGCTACCTACATAAAGCATAAAGAGAGGTAGCAGAATCAAATGTGTTATTGTATCGCCGGTAACAGACGACAAAGATCAAGCCCATTCTCAAAAGCCAATTACAGAGACCGATACTTTCACAGTCACCTACAAACACGTCCTCGGTTTCTGTTTCTCCCTAGGTACCTACCTAACCTACCTTCACCATGTCCAGGCTAGACAAAGCCGCGAAGATTGGCATCCGCCTCATCGTGGACGCCTATGTCCCCGACCTGACCTTCCTGGAAAAGCTCAACCAGGATCTTGTCTTGGAAAAGTCAGGAGGCGTCGTGATCCACCAGCCAATCCAGCTGATTCGGGACTTGGACGACAAAGGATACTGGCAAAAAGCTTTTGACCCTCTCGGACTCGATGCTAAAGCGATCGCGCAAAAGATCAGTGACGACCCGACGGGAGAGTCTCTCAAGGCCGTCCTCAAGGAGAACTGGGAGAACATCATGGCCGAGTACGAGAAAACGCCGTTCGACCTGCGCCAGCACACCGTCCTCCAGTACAAGACCTCGGACTCAACAGACGGCCACCGTGGCGTCTTCACCGGCCAGGTCTCCGTCCCGCACGCGGCCAAGTTGTTCGAGAACGAGGCCATCTTGCGGCACATGCTCAACTCGTTCCCGCAAGAGGCGCTAGTTGTCGAGCCGGGATGGATGAAAAGGATTCATAAGGAGGCGGGCGATGACATGGCCACGTTCGTCAAGGCCAACGAATCTGACATCAGGGCTGCCACCAAGAAGTACTTTGCCGAAGGCGGGAGCCTGGCCAAGTGCGGCGCTCTGCTGGGCTCCGTCAACATGGTCATGGTGCTGGGCGTGATCTTCCAGGAAGTCAACGGCCGCAAGGTGTACTCGATGGTGGTGGCCACGTTGCGGGAGCACGCCCTCGACGGCATCAACCTGTGGGAGGCGATGCTTGATCCGCACCACCCGGACGTCGTCATCTTCTCCAACAAGCTGCTAGGCAAGCACAAGGTCCCCATTATGGACTGGGCCAACAACTTTCTCGGCCAGCGGCTGATGGCCACGACGTGGAAGACGGTCCCGCTCTCGGTCGAGGCCGAGGCCGTGGGCGTGCCGCTGGACGAGTACATTGCCGATCTGCGCGCCGCCAAGGAAGTCGACCCCGGCGTCAAAGACATCTTCCTCAACAGATGGGTGTTCGCCGGTCTCGACCGCACCGCCTTTCTCCCCGCGGGCTACCGCAAGTGGGCGGGCTCCAACCTCGACCTCAGCACCGTCGTCATCGACGCCACCAAGGACGGCCCCAAGATCGAAAAGCTGCTGAGCTTCACCGCCGACACCCCCGTCTCGGAATTTCACGCGCTTGGCCTGAAACTCGAAAAATCACTACCAGAAGGTTTCTACATAAACCGCAGCGGCCCCGTCGACCCTTTCGCGTTCATGACCTTTTCCTCTTTTATCACCGTCCCCGAAAATCATCATCACGCTCCGACTCTCGAATCCGCTGCCTTCGCCGCCGCCCGCAACCCCGCCCAGCAGTTGCTTGACACCAGCACCGTCGCCAAGATCCGCTCCGCCATCACGGAACAGATCAACGCCCCCTTGCTCAAGAGCCTGCTGGCGCTCGAACCAGCCGGCACCGCCAGGACGATGCGCAAGCTGCGACAGGACCTGGCCTGGGCCAGCCTGGTCGACAACTACCTCCTCGCGGAAGTAACTCCCGACCTAGAAGCCCAGGTGCGGGACGTGCTCAGGTCGGACGCGCAGTGGGCCGATGTTCCGGACCTGTTGCTGGAAAAAGCGGTGCTGAGCGCGGCGAGAGAGACCATCTGCTTGCCGCTGCTGGCGCCGCAGGGGTATGTGGACAAGATCACGGCTTTGACTGTTTATGAGACTATGAAGAAGACGACGACGACGACGACGCCGGGGACGGATGAGACAACGTTGTTGAAGGATAAGGTTAAGATGCTGGAGCAGGCGGCAGAGGCGATGGACAGTGTGGTGAAGAGTAGGAGGCAGGAGCTGCTGCAGCTGGGTGAGGCGGCTAGGGAGAGCGAGGAGTATAAGGAGAAGGAGAAGGAGATTGTTGAGAAGGAGCAGAAGGTAAAGGAGCTGACGGAGAGGAAGGTGGATGTGGAGCAAATGGTGGAGGAGATGAAGATGGGGGAGGGGTTTATCAAGGATGTTGGGGTGGAGGTTAAGGAGATGGAGGAGGATCCCAAGAGGAAGATATTGGAGCATGGGAAGTAAGGTGGATGAGTGTGTGGGCGGGTGGGCTTATTCACGTCCGAGACCCTAGTTTTGGAGCTAGCATTAATTTGAATATTCGTTGTTTTTGCAATTCACGTAGCTCTCTTTTCTCCCAAAGGAGAAGGAGGGTACACAGGTCAATTGGCAATAACAGTTGTCATTGTTTCCAAAAAAATAAATCCAGGTAGTTGAACGAAGTTGGCCAAGTAGGTACCTAGGTATTCAATTCACACAAAGCAGAACATTTTCTTGCTTCAGTTAATGTGCATGTATGGTATCTTATTTCAAATACAAAACAGAAAAGTTTCTTATAGGTATCGCTTTCCCCATCCATCATCATTACATCCGTAGCTATGTATTCTTCAATCTTCCTTCTTATCCTACATACACTTTTCCCTTCCATACTTCTACACTCCTCCTCATCTCCCCATTTTCCTCAGCACTACCGGAACCCCCCTTACCGGAACTGTCCCTGCTGCGGCCTATAAACCGGTCCTCCGGGACCTCTTTGCTGCTGTCCCTGACCGTAGTATCCTCCCTGACTACTCTGACTCCCCTGCCTCTGCTGCGGCCACTGCTGCTTCTGCTGCTGTTGTTGTTGACCGTAATATCCTCCCTGACCCTGGCCCTGGCTACTCACACTCCCCTGCCTCTGGCCATACCCACCAACAGCGCTCCCAGCACTCTGACTACCAGCTCCATACCTCGGTGGTCGTTGTGGTTGGAAACGCATTTGATATCCGCCCTGTCCCTGTCCCTGCCCCTGTCCGGGAGCTGGACCGGGTGCAGAGCCAGATCTAGCTGACCTTGGACCCTGATTTTGACCTTGACCCGTGGCGGGCATACCGCGATATCCGTTACCAACACCAGCTGCCCCAACGTTGGGGATGGTCGGTTGGCGAGTCATCGGGTTCATCGGCGGCTGACCCATACCCATGCCCATCGGCGCCGGACTAGCAGTGAGTTGCTCACGACTTCCCTTTCTGCCATGTAACTGCTGTTGAGCCTGCTGAGGCTGCTGAGGCATTGGCGGCGCAGCGACGGCGTCGAATTGGAAGGGGGTGGTGGAGCGTTGGTAATCGGAGTAGACGGACATGGTGTAGCCGGATTGGATTCTGCCGAGCTTACCACCATTCGTTGCGTTGCTGGCGTCAAGTCCCGGGCCTCCAAGGGGGACGGTGGTGGCGGTGAAGGTGCGCTGGTTGGGGCCAGAGATGAGGCTGAGGTCTGGAAGAGGAGGGACGGAGTCACGTTCGCGGGAGGCGAGCATGGCCTTTTCTTCGTCGTGGTAGGGCTTGTTGTCGAGGGTTTCGAAGGTGGAGGTCGTGTCGGTGGTCTTGGTGCGGCCGAGGAGGAGGGAGTTGCGGGCATCGAGGGGAGTGAGGGTGTCGCGGGATTGCAACTCTTCTGTGTGGTTGTTAGTAAAAAGGGTCAGACAATTCAGAACAAGGGGGGCAGATAACATACCCATCTCCTTCCTTTTCTTGACATGCGGATTCGCCTTGCAGCAAGCATTGACCGCATTCCAAACAATCAAAATCGCCAAAATGCCCGTCAGCGTGCTCTGGATCGCAATGAGCACCACGCCCGTAACCGTCTGCGTCGTTTGCTGGATCCCAAACTCCTCGACAAAGATCAAGATGCAAACCACCGACAGGACCCTGACCGTCTGGATCATGATGTTAATCACGTTCCCCGCTCCTCCTCTGTAGGGCCGACTCCAGATGAGCAAAATGAGCATCAGCCCCTCGATAGAAAGCTGCGCAATAGTCTGGACCATACCAGACCCATCCGCCGCCGCGAGGACCACCGACTTGGAAAACATGTAAAGAATCGTGGGAACGAAAATCCACCAGTAATCCCTCCTGTATGACTCGTAAAAAAGCGAATACCGAACCCAGATGTTCTTATCATCGTAAAGTCCTCCGATATCGCCCTCGAGCTTCTTGAGCTTCCTAGCCGTGCTCCAGATCTTGTAACTGAAAAAGGCCAAAACACCGGTAAACAACGCCAAGGTAACTCCCGCGAGGACCTTAGCCGCCCAGGAGTCGCCCTGCGTGAACTGGAAGACGCAGTACAGCACCCAGACGCCGTACAAAAGCATGATGAGCGAGGTGATGGCGCGCGCAATGGAGATCCAGTAATGCTTCCTGAAACCGGCGAGCTTTTGCGGGAACGAGCCGAAGAGGGCCCAGAACTCGAGGACGACTTTCACGAGCAAAAGGCCGACGACGATGGCGGCGATGATGATGGCTACGATGAGCAGGATGGTCATGAACATGTTGGCCGAAGGGATAGAGAGTTGCTCGACGTATTGTGAAATACCCTTGACGGCAACGCGGAAGCTCTCTGGATTGTCGAGGGCAGTGGTACCGTTTCCGGACTCAGTAGCCGCGCCGGGCTCGGTGAGGTTAACACTGGTCTCGATCTCGCGTGTGGCGAGGCGGATGAACTCGTTGATGGCGCGCTTGACGGGCAAGCTACCACTGTTGTTCTCGTGGAGCGTCATGGTGGTGTTATCGGGGAAGACGAGCGTGGTGTTCTCCCGGAGGAACATGAAGCTGTTGTGGGTGAGGTTGCCGCCCGTCTTACCGCGGAAGTCGTCGATAGAGGTCTGCATCGCCGCCCAGGGGATGATTCCCGTGGAAAAGCCAAAGTTCTTGGCGAAGTTGCGGTAGACGGGAGGGTAGTTGACAGACAACATGCCGTTCATGGCCATGCCCTGGAAGAACCCAAATACTTCGGTGAAGCTGGGGCTGATGGTGCCCATGCCGGCACTGCTTGCTGCTCCTCCTGCTCCTCCTGCGGCAGCACTACCTCCGGCAACGGCAGCTCCAGCAGCCGAGATACCGGTCAAGATGAGGGCGGCACCGGCCACACCGGCGGCGACATAAGAGACCGCGGGGACGCTGGCGGTCTTGCCGTTCGTTACTTCGGACTGGATGCAAGCGACGGTCTTACCGGTGGATTCCGATAGTAGCTCGAGCTTGGCCATGGCGGCAATATCGGGGATCTGGAATGCTATCGACGGTACCAAGTCGGCAAACTCTGCAGGAATTTTCTGGGTTCCTTTGGCGGAAAAGCTACCCGCGGGGACTATCAGATGTCAGCATATCACCCACATAACCTCTCCATGTATCCAAGTTCCACCTACCAGGACATAGCTGCTTCACAAAGGTGCCCTCGTCGCAAGGGTTGAACTTGTTCTCGTAGATATTCGCCCCGTATGCCGTCACTGTTAGATGAGCCGTGACATTCTGTACTTGGTTGCTCGTCCCCGCCACGTCGAAAGTAACCGTCTTGTCGGCGTTGTTGTAGGTGATATCGGCCTTTTGTACCGAAACCTGGGCGTCCTGCTCGCATGTGTCGAAGCCGATCGTCTTGAGAATGTCGTCGCCCATCACTCCGTGTGCCATAACCAATCCGGCGAAAAGGGCCGCGAGGGCCGTCCGCTTCCTGCGGATCATGGTGTTTGTTGTTGTGTGTGTTGATGAATGAATGAAGAATATGTCCGGTTCGAATAATACTGTCCAGCTCAGTTCCCTCTTTTCTCCCCAGTCGTAGGTAAATTCTTCTTCCTTCTTCCTCCTATGTTCTGTCGTCGATAATGTTGTAGATATGAAATATGTGATGGCGAAATGGTTGAAAGTCGTTTCTATTGTGCTATCGTTTCGAAACCTCTTAGTTCATGTGTGTGCCGTCGAAAGGTTTGCTGTTCAGTGCAGTAGTATCCTCGAAGCCGGTTCTCGGAAAGTTGGATAATGCTTTTGCGATTTGTCAATGTATCGATCAGATGTCGTGGTAGTAAAACAATGAATGGTGTTGTATGTTGAGTGGTGATTGGTTGATTTGAAGTGAGCGATAGTGACAAACAAAGAAGGCAATGTTCTTGTTGTTGAACCTCCTAAGCGACGACGAAGGACTGGATGGTAAAGGCCAAACAATGGAAAAGCCGAGGATCAACCTGGAAGGAGAAGTGAAAGAAAAACGAAAAGGATCCTCAAAGGGCCCTGTCTGTATGCTCAAAGAAGGAGAGGACGAGCAGAGCACAAAGAGAGTGAGAGAAGGATGGGCGCGAAGATGAGAAGAACGGGTGTTGTTCGTTTGGTTTGAATTGTCCTTGTTCCCAAGCGTCCAGGTGATTGATCCAGGTGCTCACGGTCCAGGTCCCCAGTTTAAGAAATCGGATCCAAGTCAGATGATGATCGACGTTGAATGGAAGAAAAGTCCCCTAGGATGTTGTCAAAGTCGTCATGGATGAGAAAAATCTCGAGCGAAAGTCGAGAACCTGTCTCCTGTAAGGTTAAGGAGTGTATGGAAAAAGAAGAAAAGAAAGCGATCCTGCGCTGTGCTTGTTAAAAAAAGAAAATGCACGAGCCAGCTGGATTGTTTGAAAAAGGTGAAAAAAGAGGCGTGAAAAAAGAATGGAGATGGTCGATGGAGAAGTGGTGATGGAAAAGTGGAAAGAGCGAAGAAAATGCAAGTTACAGATTTCCCGAAGATCTCTCAACGCCCCAAGACCGGACGACCAGACAAGACGGAACAAGGAAAGGAAAAGAAGGGTTCACCCCAGCCGGTATGTGAAACAATCTTTCAAGCTTTTTTCAGGTGACGATACCTCTATGGAAGTTTGAGGTTTGAGATTCGAGGTTGCAGTAAGTCACTTGAAAGTCAGGAAAAGCCCCGTGTTGTCACTTGTCACCCACCATGACAAAAAGAAAAAGACCGGGAATCCCCCTCTATGAGCGGGCGAGTTGGCTCCCACACCTTTCTGTCATTGCCATTCAGTCCCCTATTTCGAAATCGAAATTCTCGAATCGAATCTCTCGGAACGAACCAAGCGAACGAATGGAACAAATCAACCGAACCGAAAGCTCGCCTCTCAGCGAACGAGTCCCGAGTCCGTCGTGGTGGTCCAAACACCAATCGCTCGCTTGTTGCCCACTCGGGCGAATGACGTGTAATCTTTTCTTATTCAAAAATGCCAAACAGCGAACGAAACTCCATCACCGGGCAGCTCACCCACTCGGGTCAACAGCCATGCACCAAAAGCAATGAACAGGAGAAGGGAACAAACGGACTACCCGATCCGCCCAATCCGCGATCCCTCATTCATTCAGCTCCAAACGCTCATCCTCATCTCTCGCTCTTTGCGCCAGTTAGTAGTCCTTGTGGTTTTTGGAGTGTCCAGTGCGTACCTTGCATCGAAGGCCTCCGGCTCCATATGATGAGCGAGGATGAACAGCGCCTCCGTTCTCGAACCTTTCGTATAAAGACCCTTCACTGCCCCCCTCTTGTCGGTCCGTCTTCTCCCATTCCGTAGATAGATACGAACCTCTATTGTACCGGTCCATTCACCGCAATGAGGTATGTCCGCGTGGCTCAGCGGTTGCCCCATCGCCGGTCCCAGTCGAATCATTGTTGGCAGAACATGGCAGTCTTCGTGGGCCATCGGAGGAAGTTCAAGAAATTCCCTTGACAAGCGCCAGCCCAAAGCAACACAAGCATCTGAAACGTTGGTGGGGTTGCGAACCAAGCAGCGCCCGAACAGGGGGTTGATGTCTCGTCCGAGTGGGCGGCTCTGCCGTTTGTGGGATCTAATTGGCTGAGACCCAACAATGGATGCGAAAATGGAGTCGCCACCGTTCAGGTACCGAGCCCCACATTGTCCACTGAGAGCCGCTAACCGAAGAGAAGGCGTGAGAGAAGGGCCGGGGGGAGCTGACTTTGATGGAGACGACCAGGAGGTCTGGACCCCTGACGATCTTTTGGCCTCTGATGAGAATTCACTTGGAAATTCAAGAAAGGCTTCCAGTTCGATTTAGAGCCATCGTGAACGAGGAGAAAGATAAATATGATGGATGCCGCGATGGCCATTGGAAATGTCCGCGAGATTGTATGGGTCACCTAAAGGAGAAGTACTGTTAATAAGGCCTCCTCTCCTCCACTGTCTCCTCGACGACATCAACAGCGAATTTAAGGCCTGGTAATTGAAGGAGTCAGTCTACCTTGACGGAACCACAAGTCCACAACAACGGCCTTGACGGATATAGAAACGACAGGCCAGAATATATCTTCCTGCAGGCATCAATTGACGTCTGCGACCTGCCGGGTCCCAAAAGACTGGCGACAGTCGCCCTTGCATCCGGTCATCTGGGTCCCTCACCACTCATCGAACCTACAACCATTTACATATCCAGCGCCTGTTTTCAATTCTCACTGTCATTGAGCTCTGTGCGAGATAGAGCGATGAGGGTTGTTCTCAATATCCTCTGCATGCATATATCCAAGAGGGTTCGTAGCTCCCCATCTTCGTCGGCATGGTACCTGGAACGACTTCATTCCCCATCCATCCCTGCATCAACTATGCGAGCCCCTGTTTCCTTGTGGTTCCTTGTGGTGCCCCTGTCGCGGTTACACCTCAGATTGCAAGATCTGCCTCGCAGACTGACAGACTCGAAGCACGAAATGCGTCAGGTTCATGCAAGTCACCACCTACCGTTCCTATCGTAGTATCCAAGGCCAAATTTATCAGGTAGCATACCCATAGAGTGAGTAGACGCCCATGTGATAGCGATACCTGAGATTCCATACGCTGTCGATGGTTCAAGGCCCATACTTCAAGACCAATGCCATGGTCATGGTCATTGTTCCGCTCAAATGAGCGACGACAAAAAGGCTTTTCTGTCCAAGATATCCAAAAAAGAAGTGTTACGCTCGCGCTTAACAGCACCCCTCAAAACAAGATATTCAAAAACGGAGGCCTCCAGTGTCTAGTCATGATTGAGTTGGCTGGGTTGATGTGTTTCGAGGAACGGAAGGATGAACCTCCCAAAGGACAAAGAAGCACGTCCGTCCAGCCATATTACAAGGAATTGCGAAAAGAGTCGTAAGAAGGAAAGATGGAAAGACACCGGCACCAAGTGTTTGTCAAACGCTTTGCCAAAGGCAACTTGCAGGAAGGTACATGTGTGGGCAAAAGAGTATCAGTAGGCGAGGGTATCAAAACTTCGATCCAAGATCCAGCAACACCGATCAACAGCGGGCGAAGTAGCTCATAGGAGACGGCCAACCTAGATGGTCATAGCATGATTCGTAAAGACTTGTCTATCCAAAATATCAATCCCAGAAGGTTCCGTTCGCACTGCTGAATCATGTCGCAACTCAATGGGAGAAAAGAGAGAGACCACCTATGTCCCGCGTCTAGAAAGATGATTCATCAATGTGTTTCATGCGAGGAAAGACAAAGCAACAACTCTCACGATGAAAATGAAACGTCCGGCTCATCCATCCGATACTGTATGTACGTAAAGCTCGTTCGTGGCCATGAAAAGAAGAAATAACACGAAAACACCCGCACCAACTCTCTCTGTCAAACACCTCGTCTCTCCAAGCGGAATCCCGAATCAAGAACGTGTGCAGGCAAGGGTATCAAACCATCAAACCATCAGTCCAAGCAACCTCTATCAACACCAAAAACGGAACAAGAAAGAAGAAAAAGAACCCGTATTGCTCTCAGTAGAACCCTCCATTCTGCCCTGGCATACGCGCCGTCCCAAACGGACTCACATTCCCATGAGGCCCTTGTGCTCCCACTGGCATGAACTGCGCATTCACATGTCCATGTGACTGTTGTCTTCCATATCCATGGTGCTGGTGTCCATTCTGCGAATGCGGTCGACTACCACCCTGCCTTGGGGTTGGAGTGAGACTTGTATCCAGCATCATCCCACCACCACCACTATTCATAGTTCCGTATCCCATCGAGACAGGATCTTGAAGTCCTAGAGCGTTCATGTTCAGATTTAGGGCCATCCCGGGAAACGCCTCTGTTCCGCTGGTGCTATCTGGGGATATGCCCATGAATTGCCCCTGGTTAGGGGGCGCACCCATCAACGGCGTGCCCATCAGGGGAGTCGTTAGCTGTGAGGAGACTCCCATCTGCGAGGCGGAAATGGGAGAAGTCACGTACCCGCCAGCTGTGGTGGTCATTGGCATGGTGGTGTACACTGGTTGAGTGGTGATCAGGTTGTGGTAGGCTTGGTTCATGGGTTGCTGGCCCATGGGCATGTTCATAGATCCGGAGGCCAGCATGCCTTGGGAGAGATCGCCGAATGGCTGGTAGCCAGGCTGAGGAAAGGGTTGGTACCCAAAGCCTTGGTGTTGCTGTGGAGTGCTGGGATAAGACATGGGCATTTGGCGCATGGGCATATGGCTCATGCCATGTATCGCTGGATCAAACCGCTGCTGCATATGAGGCTGTCCGCTTTGCCTTCTGTCGTTATTTTGGGGCATGGGAGGCGGGAAGTGCCTCAGCGGAGGTTCCTGCACCGGACTGATGATCGTATCAGGGTCGACCTCCATCCGCTCCACAAGCTTAATGATGGGTAGGCTTATTTGCTCCATGTGCTTGGCCAGATGGACTGTCAACTTCTTCCATGTCTGGAGCTGTTCCCCACAGAACCGACACGGCTCCTGACGTGGTGTGGTTGTGTTCATTCGGTGGCACTTCTCCACCATCTGCCAGGTCGGGTGACGCGCACCGCCAGCCTTCCTGATAGCCCCCTTTGTCTTGTCTTTGGGCTCATCGTACTTGTGCTCGCGCACGAGATGCTGGAGGAAGTTGTCCCGCCGGTAGCATTCGTGGTGGCAATCGTCGACAATGCACTTCCACCACTCGAGATGACGATGACCTTCATTTTCATGGCGCACCCAATCGGCCTTTCGCTTGAATGTTTTATTGCCGTCTCTGCATTGTTCCCAGGTACAGGCAAAAGGCGAGACATCCTCATGTACGTGTTTGGTCCAATCCGAGGGTTTCCCGAGTGTCTTGCCTTGGAAGCACAACTGACACTCCAGCTCAGCAGGCAAGTCCCTGGTAATTGGCGGGGGAATATTAGCAGGGAATTGGTTTGGGTTGATCATTTTGTCACCGGGTGGCATGTCATCTTCAGACCGCTCAGTGAACCCTCGACCGTTGGGGCCGGGTTTCAACATCTTCGCCTTGCCGCCTGATTTGATGCACTTGGATCCAGATGGGCAACTCTTGTTCATGAGCTGCTGTTCGTGGTCCTTTTTGAGGTTCAAGAGGTGCTTGTAACGAACTGTCTGTTGGTAGACAATGCGGTCAACCAGGTATTGGCTTGTTGGGGGAAGCTTTGGATGAAGCTCCAGAAAGTGCTTCTCGAAACCCTCTTTCGTTGGCTGAATGTTGAGAATCGATGCGCTTGAATCGGCGCTGGAGTCTCCTTCCCCATCCTCGTCATCTTCCTCATCCGAATCATCGTCAATCTCGATGACCTCTGCAGAAGGTTTTGGTTCCGCAGTAGGCCTGGGAAGAGGGGCTGGGGGGCCGCCATAACTCTTCAATAAGCCTGCGAGACCATTATTGGGCTCCTTGCGAGCGGAAGCGTCCGACCTGCTGCGGAAGCGGTTTGAGAAATTGACACTCAGGTTCCGTGCTGGACTTTTGGCGTTAGGAGAAGTGATGGGGGTGTTGCTGATCGAACCATTCCTAGCGTGCGCGGTCGCAATGGATGCCACATTGCTTCCCATGGCGACCAAGGCAGTGTTGATGCTGGGGAACGATTGTTTCTTGCCCAGGCTTGCTGTGCGACTTGGAGGAGCCAAGTTCAAGCTGCCCTGGCTTTCTTTGTGGTCCACCGACGAGCGTGTCGAGTTGGAAGCGCCCTCTTCATTTTCGGCCCGAGTTCGTTTGGCGTTGCTGGGTCTTCTAACCAGACCTCGGAGCTCTTGGATGATTGCACTAGGTCGGCGAAGAGAATCTCCTCTGCTCAAAGACAGCTTTTTGAGGAAGTTCCCAGCGTTTTCGACCTCGGCGTCTATTGTGCCAATGCTGCGACGCCTCGTTCCCCAGGTTGCCGCTCTCGAGATGATGGAGCCGTTGTCTTTGCACATTTGCTCAAATCTGTTAATGGCAGCTTGGGAAGTCTCTGGCTGATGTCGCTCAGATATGATGGGGAATGACAGCGGTGCATCGGCCCAGTTGCGGTTCCCAGAGATGATGGCTCGATCCTCCGCTGTCATTTTGCCGCCTTTTTCTGTAAAATATATCTGCCCTGACAGTTGCTTGTTTTCCGAGGGTTCGGCTCCGATCTCCCTCGGATCAATATTATCGTCATCGTGGTCAATAGGCTGTATGAAAGGCTGGTTTACATCCACGAAGCCCGATTTTGTGCGGCCAGCAGTGCTCAACTTGGCCATCCAGGCGTCGACCTCCTCGTTTTGTTCTTTAACTTGGTTCTCGGCAGCAAGCTCGTTTACGCTGCGTACCTCGGCGGAGGACCAGTTATCGGGTGCTACTCCAGTTCGGCCAGTGACTTGATCTGAGGCCCAGCATAGTGACCCATCGCGTGCGAGTGTCGATGAATGGGACATATTGCCGTCGGAAGTTTGGTGGGCAAAGTCGTTTCCATTGACGCCGGGGTGGAGAGCATGGGATTGAGCGTTGTTGAGGGTATACGAGTTGATGTTGTCCCAATTTGAGACTGTTACCCTTGGACTTTGCTCTGACATGACGTTGATCGAGGGCACAGAGCTGTCGTCACCCAGCTCCGCGCTATTGGTGGTTTCTGGCGTCAACTCGTACTCGGCTTGGCTGCTGTCCTGCGAGTCTGAAAGAGATGGCTGTTTTGGCCTATGGGTGACGACCTCTTGGGTATTGACGGAAATAGGTGAGCGCTTCGGAAAGGTTGCTTGGTTGGAGCCGGTTCCGAGATTCGGAGAGGTCTGTAATGAAGGCGTCTTTTCTGGACTCATGGGGAGATGACTGGCACCTAACAGAGCATTTTGTGTCTTCAGGACTGGTTCGGATGAAGTACGGTCGGGAAAATGGTTGTTGTTGGCTGTCTGGAGGAAGTCGTCTTCGAGAAAGGAAGGTGAACCGTCCTCGATTAAAGAGAAGTTGACGCCAAAGAACGGGTCGTCGTTGTTGGCGAAGTCTAATTGTTGATATTGGTAATGGTTATTGAGAGCTTCTAGAGATTCTTCTGGTGTCTGTGTGTTGTTAAGTGCAGGTGACGCCGAGTTACTGAGGGTATTTGGTGTAAGATGGCTTTCTTGTGATAGTTGGTTGCGCTCCGGCGTGGCAGAGTCGTTATCGGCCAGAGAGGACGGCGTGTAATAAGTATAACCCGAAGACATGTTGAAGGAGGGAAGGGGTGGGGGCCCTTAAGAGAGTGTCTCTCTGAGTGTGAGTGCGTATATATCAACAAGTGATGTTATGACGCCGAGAATGTTGGCTGAATGGGCGGTGCGCGGTCAGGTCCTGAACTTGCTGGTAGGCGATCAGGCGGCAACCATGATATGTCTGCGTAGGCAAACCTAAAGAGGAGGATGAGGAGGAGGAGAGCGAATTGCGGCTGCGGTTGCGGCTGCGCGGGGTTCTGAAGAGAGTGATGGTGGTATTGGCTTGGCTGAATGATCGTCGTCGTGTTAGACGCTTCTCCACATGGACCGAGACAGAGGTTAAAATGTTTGCAATTTCTTCCCGCTCCCACGCGTGTGATGGAAGCCGGATATGAAGCGATTTCAAGAAAAAACTTTCGGGAAACTGTAGGAAAGACGAGAAGATGGGGAAAAGATGGTGTCTGGCGTACCCGGCAGGAAGCAAAGCTTGAGCAACACCGGGCTGGACCCCCTGTCTCTCCTCTTGTGCAGCGAGGATGGGGGCAAGGCGCAGAGACAGCTGCGCTTTCGAGCCTGGTCTGTGGCCGTGAGCGCTTAGAGGCTTGATTTTGCGTGATGTGAGCAGGGGTTTGAGATAGTGTGTGGTAGCGCAGTTTTGTGGTCTAGCCATGTATCCGCAACATCTCAAGAGTTTATACTCTGTCGACCTGTGAAATCTTTTAGTTATCATCATATGGATTCGCCATGGTATGAAGGTCACCGATAGTCTCTAGGGTTTTATCAGTCAAGTGAACTGAAGATTTGAAGTGAGGTAGCCCAAGATGGGAGTCCTGGTTCTAGGTTGCCGTGGTTGCCTGGGAGCTGGGGTCGACAGTGATGGTGTAGACCCGTTTGGGAAGGATGTGATGCCAAAATCACAAACCAATATCCCGAGTATGAAGTCATGTTCTCGATGTCTCTCAACCGGCACACGGAGTTGATAGACTCTGTGATAGTCTCATGGACTTCCAGCCACATGGAGCAGTGCTCTTTCTGCCTCATCGTGGCTTCATGTCATCTTGACTTGGCTTCCGGACTAGAGCCCGACGATGTGCGTTGAGTGTGTTGTCCTTGTGTACCCTCAACCTCAAGCCCCTGTCAAGTATTGCCTGATTAGGCCAGAAGATGCAGCCAATTTGAAGCAATCGGCTTGATGGACTTTCGCCTCGTCGAGATCACCCTCGACATGCTCTGCTTACTGTCATGAACGCACTGTGAGAACCTGCAGAGGTCCATGGTCCAGATGGCCCAAGGCTCAATGATGAGGGTCATCATGGTGACAAGAGGGAGGCATACCGGTCGGTGAGAGAACGAACCTGGATCAAGTCGATATCATCACGACCCGAGACAGTGGAAGAGGTCCCGAGTTCGGCACGGTCTCACTAATATCGCAGCATCCAGGGTGCGTCCCACTTGAAGTCTCTGAGTGGATTGTGAATCGAGGCGAAGCAACATCTCGAAAAGGGCAGACTCGGGCAGAGCAGCAGGCTGAACAGAGTCAATTGATCAAAAAGGTCGCTGGGTTGTATTGCAGCAATTCAAGGCGACCAAAGAGAAAGCCGGCTGAATCCAATGAGTTCTGTGTTCAATCTGTGTCCAGTCACAGAAGAGACAAGTTGAAGGTCACGAGAATTCGGTTGCAGAGAACAAAGGACGGAAGAACCACTGACAGAAACAGAAGGGACCATGCCCTGGCAGGGGCAGGATCCCCAGATACCCCACCTGCCCGACCAACCTGAACGGCGCCGTGCTGACCCCACTTTGGACAAGGCATCTTGCACTGCCCCGCGCGAACCATTTGCAAATCACCAACCCGACATCATCAACGCCGGGCACTTCAGGGACACTTCACCACCATCTCGTTGATCATCTTGAGTCTCATAAAGGGGCTTGGATTGTGCCTTGCGGGAATACATCATGCTTCCTTCCGTCACAATGATTACATATGCAACCCATAAGCACGGAAGGAAGCATGGAAGTCGAAGCCATGATCAGACCTCTGTTGACGTTCAGTCACTTCCTCTCAAGTTTCACACAATCGATATTGAACCATCCCGATTCGCTTGTCACTTTAATACTACCATGTCAAAAGTTCAGACGAACCGTTGAACCCAAATCCATGGCTGATCATCCAAAGCCCCTTCAACTGATGCGGTCAGCACTTTCTCACAAGCCACTGCATCAACAGACTCACAAACATTCCATTTAGTTTGACTCAGGGGGCCCCAGTGTCTTCGAGCTTTCAAGATTCCTTATGGTGGGTGGGGTGGTATAGTTTGATGCCGTGCAGCCTCCGGACGGCTTGCACTGCCACGCCACGCCGGCTTCCACTCCGCTCTGCCACCCCCATTAGATTCACGGAACCTTTCCCATGATGCACCTCTCCTCCGGGACCCCGTCTCCGAACTACTTTTTCACTTTTATGAACCCCTGATCCCTATCATCACCAAGTTTCACGAGTCAATGATTCACTTTCAAACATTATCTTCCTCCTTTGCTTCGCCTGCCGACCGGCAATTAACATACTATTACGAGCCGGTCTGTTACACTAACAAAAGGAGCAGCCTTCAACACAAACAGTTTGACACGTCGGAACCCTATCCACAATCCCGGACGGACAATGATCATGAACGGTCATGGACCACGTCCGTGAGTTGATGTTTTAGACGCTGATCACCATGCCGCTGGAGTATCTCCGGTGTCAGTACCCGGTAAACCAATCCAAAAGATCATCGCCATTCTGAGCAACTCACAAATCAGAAGATCCGCCGGTGAATCTAACTACCAAGTTTCAATAATCCGCCTTCACCCATGTCACCCTGAACTGCCCGACTACGGAGACCTTCATGATGCTCCTTCCCCTGCAGCCCTGTCTAAAATCGTCGGCGCATCCCAAGATGCCACCCCACGATACAAGCCTATTATCGCACAAGCTTTCTGGCCCAAGCCTACATTCTAGACTCCCATTCTCCTACCCCAATTCACACCATCTCACCATCTTAACACTGAGAACATCTGGCTGAACACTTTAACCCATCTTACCCCTACGCCGCAAGCTAAAGTCTTCTGTGCCTCCTTTCCGCTTCCATCAACACCGATGACAAGCATAAGCTTTAACAATGAGGCAGCGGGCTTCATATGAACCGGGCTTAGATCCGCATCTTGGCGTTGTCTAAGTTCTTATGTTCTTGTGTGACAATTCATAGCCTCTCGGGGATGATCCAGTGCTGTTCGGATGGGGATGATCGTCAGATCGGAGCAAGGCCGGATCATCACGACCCTGCGACTCGATCTTTGGCTTTCTTTACCAATTACTATATTCATGTCCACTTGAAGAAAGAATACTTCTCGCAGAAGACCTCTAGAAGCCTTTCGTTGACTTGATCGGCCATATCCTGACAACCAACGTTCAAGTCCTGGCTGGTCATCTGGCCGTGCCGTCGGCTGCAAGGAAGAAGAGACACTAGGTGAAAACAGTACCATCTTGACAGTAACTGACCATTTTAAGTCCGCTGTGACTTTCACTCATGTCTAAACTCCCTTTCACATACAAATTAGGTTCTTCATGTGCCTACCAGAAAAGTAAAGTCCACGCTGTTCTGCTCTGGCCCCCTACACCAACTGACTGATGCCCATCCAGCCCAGGGTTAGGGTATCCTTCTTCATCCTCATGCTTATTCTACACTACTGTCTACACGTGCAAAGGGTTAGGGTAAATAACGTCATCCTCGGCTCTTCCCGAACCTTCGTTGCTTCGGAGCTTTTCTGGTGACAAAGTGGTCCGAGCTTCCGATCAGCAATCAACAATCACGATCGTGTTGAGCTTGCCTGCCGACCCGACCTCGATGCATGGGAGCGGAGTCCGCCCAAGATCGCGGCCGGGACGCGGACATTCGGGCTCGCTAGTGCAGCTGCTTGGTAAGTTTCCGAACTTGGATGATCTTTTGAAGCTTAAGTTTCTACAACAACAAAGTTCAGACGAAAGATACTATCACAATGGTACGTTCAGATGGAAGATGTTGGAGGGCAAGGGATTGACAGAGCTTCGATCGGGGAAACAACTCTGTTCAATTGCGCTAGGGAACACTGGCCGCCAGAGGGAAAGAGGCCGAGGTTTACAAATACTTGTTGAAGCTATCCTGCTAACAATCGCATCGCAATCGCAACTCAAATAGGGTCTCGAAGTTCCCGCCTACGTCCTCTCCGCCTTGACGGTCACCGGTGGTATCGCCGGCTATGCTCGCACCAAATCCAAGCCTTCCATCATTGCCGGTTGCGCTGTCGGTCTTCTTTGTACGTCACATCATTCCGAGTGTCGATACCTACCTTTACGATCGCAACCTCTACGATCCCTACCTCCACGACCGCATCCGTTCTACCTACCTACCTACCAAACACGAACCCAATGGCCCAGATCGACCGAACTCCCCGATCTACACACGCATCTCTACAACCTCCCTATCTCTACAACCCCCTACTTCTGCCATCCCTTTAGAAACCTCCATCCTACCATCCAGCTTCTAAGCTAGAATTGCTGCTGACGCCTCCACCAAACAGACGGCCTCGGCGGCTACCGCATCCAGCAGAACCAGCCCCACGGCGTCGAGCTCGGCCTCCTGGCCTCCGTCGTCCTCGGCGGCGCTTCCCTTCCCCGCGCCATCAAGCTCCGCAAGCCTGTGCCCATGATGCTCAGTGCCATTGCCGCTTTTGGGCTGTATACCTTTGGTGATGCTTTCCGCCAGACTCTCTAAACGATGCCTTAGAGGGTCCGGATAGAGAAGAGGAGGGAAGAAGAATAAGAGGGGAGTTGGTATTTGTGTAGTGTACGCGCTATGCGGTATAAGCCAAAAAATATTACAAAAAGAACCAGCCAATGTCCAGTTGTGCGCCTCCCGATGCTCTTTTGATGTTGATGTGATGCAGTGATGGGGTATAATTGTTTGAACCTTGACGGCCTGTGACTTCCGTAGTCGGGCGTAGTAGTTCAGAGTATGTGTTATGTGTATTCGACTTCCGTTGCTCTTCGATCGTCTTGACGTCTTCCAGGAGTCCGTGTGTGATGCCCTGCCGGTACTGCGCCTCCTCTCCGTTTCTGTACGATCCTCCTCTTCCTTCCTCCATATATATCCGGTTCGTCGTTCCGGCAAGGTTCCGCAACACTTCGGTCAGGGTTGAGAAGGTAGCTCGGTTACGTTCACGTTCTCGGTGGGTAGGATTGCCGGGTACGTCGGGTCGCGTAAAATGCCGAATGTTGTTTATTGTGACGACGTTCAAGAGTTCTCATCAATCTCCTTCCACTTCTGCCTGATGATGGCCTTCTTGTCCGTCACCTTGCTCTGGTTGTCCTTTTGGTTCTTGAATCTCTCGGCGCGCAGGCACGACGACAGCTGCTCCTTGAGGTCGTTGCACATGCCCATGGACTTCCAGAGGAAGCCACGGGCGTGGCATTCTTCGAAGGCGATCATGACGTCGTGGCAGGCTGTTCGGTAGAGTAAACATTAGAGGTTAAGGTCGGTAGGCCGGCTGGGAGGCAAAGGGTTGGTGGTGGAATTATGTCCAGGAGGGCCGCAAGGGCATTTGGAGGTCCCGGACGAGTGTTAGGCGACCGGAAGAAGAACAAAACGTACCGGCATTGTCCTTGGTATGCAAGTGAGGATGCATCTTGACCGTCGGAGTTCTAAGAGCTGTCGCAAAGGAACAGCTACAGTGACCAGGGCAGTTGACGTCGTCGCAAAACCAAAAAAGAAGATCTGGGGAATCGGGCAGTTTGCGATTCGCGACAAGACGGAAGACGGGAAGATCAGACGGGCAAGATCCAAAAAAGCGGCGCGGCGGCAAGGCCTGGCCGAAGCTAAAGCTTTGACCAACCAATTGCGTGGAAGTGGAAGTCACTTGGGCCCAAAGCTCCCTGTGATTGCCCCCCCCAACGGTTTTCAACACCTCGAACACCTCCTGAGCACTAACATTTTGTGCTGTCCGTCGAATCTACCACTGCTGACGACGTCTCCTATCCATTTCGATTTGACGACAGCCCGACGACAAGAAGAATCTCTCACTGAACATCCTACACTCGACATTCAACAGGGGAAGTGACCAGATCAGACAGACAATAATCATGACTCAACAACAAGCAGCTGCGAAGAAGCAGCAAGGTGCGTCAGTCTTTTTTTTTGTGGTCCCTGAAGGGCATCTGACGAAGATGAGGGGCATCCATCCTTGTCGATAAACAGCTAGCTAACGAAACTGATGAGCAGACCTTCAACTTCAGTACACCACTTACAAGAACACTCTGCAACAAATTGCCCAGAAGATTGGCGATGTTGAGCAGGAGGCTGAGGAGCATAAGTAAGCATCTTAATCTGGAGTCTCTGGATTTTGTCTTTTATTCTTCTTTAACCGCGGGCTGCGGGGGGCGGGCTGATGAGGGTGACGGTGGTGTGGTGATGGTGATGGTGTGAACTCCTCACTCATCGTTCCTTGATCCTTCTCGTTGTGGGATGTCATATAGGGTATCACACCGCTTTCCTGCCACAGGATCATGATGGTGGTGATATTTCTGATTTCTTCTGTACCTTTCTTTCTCTTCCAACACATCCATTTCGTATCTGTATCCCTTTCCTGTTTCTTTCTTATGCTTGGTCACACCGCCCCTTTCCTTCCCCATCCTATTCCATCATCTACGACTCCTCCTCATCCGATCCGTACCTTGTTACCTCACCTTGAAAGATCTGATCTTGAATTCCGATCTTTCTGAAACCTGAAATTGATAACTGACAAGACCGAAAATAGACTCGTCCTCGAAACCTTGGATCCCCTCCCGGCAGACCGCAAGTGCTTCCGCATGATCAATGGCGTGCTGGTGGAGAGGACGGTGGAGGACGTGGTCCCCGCTTTGAAGACCAATGCCGAGGGCTTGAAGAAGGTTCTGAACGACCTGGTCAAGCAGTACCAGAGTAAGCAGGAGGAGCTGGATAAGTGGAAGGTATGTTACTATGTTCTTGTTTTCCTTGGGGGTTTATCCCCCTGACTTTCGAGCGTGAGGAATGGTCAGCTGACTGACTGGTTTTCGAAACTATACAGAAGAAGAACAACGTCCAAGTTGTTCAGTCATGAGCAAGGAGACGAAACGATAGTTAGGGCATGTTGGGGGAAGATAGAGAGAAAGATTCCGACAATGTATAGTGTAGGTACGGATACAATACCCCCGCCACCATTTTACGAACGGATTCGTCATAGTGAAGAGGAGCAGCATTCAGCCCGAATGAAGCAAAGTGAGCAGGTTTAACTAAGTGGATAAACGATGGATGCCATGTCACCAAGGATGGTCGGCTGTTGACGTGTTCATCAAGGGATTGCTTGCAAGGTTCGGCATCTGAAGGCGATGATGATCAAGAACGATGACGTCGTATTAGGTGTTTTTTTTTGTTTCTGTTTCAGCGCAGGCGAAATCAAACAGTGTTTAGAATCATATCATGGCTGTATGTCGATGTTTATGGTCGTCAAGGGGTGGCCGGGATCTCAGCAGAACTGATATAGGTGATGTGTAGATTTTTACCAGAAATGGAATAACCAAAAGAAGCTTTCAGGGCGTCATCCTCCTTCAAATTTGCACGCAAGGCATAAACGATCGGTTGACAGTTGTCACGGCATATTTGTGCTTTTTTGGATGGTGCTTCAGGCCCTGGGCATAATGATGATGGTCGTGGTGTGGTTGATGAGTTGTCCCAAGCCCACCCATCCTGGCATGGACATGGTATGTACTCCCAAGGAGGCTCACTGCAGCCTAGCGGCAAAGGGGGCGCGTCTCAGTGCCCAACCGGGAGGCCGAAAAAACATCCTTCCCCCAAAGCCCAGCCAGCAGTCCAGCACATGGGGTTGGCTGGTTGGGCTTCGATTGGACTGGAACCCGCGTGCAAGCAAAGTGAAAGGAAGCGAAGCGAGCAAAACGACCGGCGATGAGCTACTGCGCAGAAGGCTTCTTCTGAGATGACGGACTTGCCGTCGGCGGGCGGAAAGACGACGGCGTCATTTTCTCCGCTTTATGGCTTAATATGTATGTAAGTAAGCCAGTTAGCTTGAATGCTCGTGGATGTCCGGTCCAGTCGTACAGCAGCAGATCATGAAACTCGGGTTTCGAAGGGGCTGCTGTTGGCCAACCCCAACCTTTTCTGGACTTTGCGAGTGAGTGAGGGGTGCTTTTCCAAGGAGGACACACCCGCTCGTGATCGTGATATCTTTCTGTGAGCCAACAGGGAATTTTCTCACATAATCTCCGGAATATCTTCCAATGAGGCTGTCGAAATCTCATCTAAAATCCATCATTGGTGAAGAACTGACTTTGTGATAACCACTGAGCTCGTTCTTTGGAGTCGTCCCAGCCTCGTGTATGATGGAATGGTGAATGGGCTGTGAATGGTTGCCCGCATCGTGGGAAACGAAAGAAGGGGCGGGCATATCAAATGAGTGGTGATAGCGAAAAGCCCAGCCAGTCATCACACACACCTTTCCTTTGGGATCTCCTTTTGAAGAACCCCCAGCCTCTCTTTCGGCCCAAAAGCCGTGGTTGGATTTCAGGGCATCCATTGGGCTTCTGGATTCTTTCAGCCTTCTTGTTCCTGTTGTTTGGGTTCGTTGAAGATGGTGTTGATATGTCACAGCCATTGTCGAATCAGAGGCTGTCTCCACCCACCTTTCAGGCATTCGTCGCCCTGAAGCTGGGGTTGTTGTTTCGCCAAGATATCATATCTGGAATGGCGTCGACGTTCGGCATCATCGTCGACAGAATACTCAACTGTTGCTTATTGTTGTTGATGAAGAGTTGGAAAACAGAGGACTCACTATTGCTTTGTGCATTATCCCTGCTAATAGTCGCAAGCATGCAACCCTTTGAAGAGGTCACGGACGATGCACTTTCACCGCTCTTGTCGGTCCACGGATATCAGATATTGGCGTCTCGTTGAGGATGAGGAGTAGCAGTCGGGTGACTAGTCGTCACGAGCACTGGTGATATTCATCAATCGAGGTGGGGAAGGCAGGTGTAGGATCGTATCAAGGACGTCGGGGTCGGGTGAGTGGAACGGTCTTTTTGAACCTCTGGATTAAAGTTGTATCGACGAAAGCGTCAGTCGTTTGGTGGTTTGACATGATGAAGTTGGTGTCAAACTCAGGTACCAGGTCGACAGTTTGATGGCCCGGGCAACAAGAACGGCAATAGATATGCCCAAGCAAACGTCACAACAATAGGTATCAGTTGGGTGCTTTATGTGCCATTGTCAATCGATATCAGCCATGCAGATTGAATGATTGTGGTTGTTGTTGTGGTTGTTGTTGTTGTTGTTGTTGTTGTGGTTGTTGTTGTTGTTGTTGTTGTTGTTGTGGTTGTTGTTGTTGTTGTTGTTGTTGTTGTTGTTGTTGTTGTTGTTGTTGTTGATGGTGGGTGGTGTTGTTGTCGTTCTGCGAATCCGACGTTGTGCTGGCGAAGCCGGGATGTTCGCTAAATCGCTGGAACATTACAACGTAAACTATGCCTATCCGGGATGGATTGCGGCGCATGATTCGGATGGGACCCGCTTCTCCCGCATGCTCTTTCTTTCACCCGATATCCTTCTTCTTTGTAAATTGTTAGTGCAGTGTTTTGGTAGAGACAGAAGGAAAGAGGTGTCAACGAGCTGACACTGTCACCACAACCAACCCCACGAGTCGGCTTGTCTTGGTTTTTGTGTTTCCATGCATCTCAGACACGGAACGAAACGACAACGACAGACGTACTGCAACTACATACCTTGACATTCACACGTCCATATTGGCCAACTCAGACAACCGGATAATCCACTAGGAAGAATCGGCATCCAGTATCTTCCACTTTCGTCCGAATTATTCACTCTGTCAAGTGTATCTCGACACTCTAACCCAAGAGGTACCCTACCGTTGTTGACGCGCCCCCCATCAACAATCAAACACCCCCTTCGACGTGGATACACACGCCGTCCGACATCCCCAACCAGGACAAAAGCAGAAACCCGTTCTTGTACTCTACGCGAAGCGTGAAGCAACGGGGCCATACAGACCACTCATCTCCTGATATTACTACCGGTACGTACACATCATGAGATACTACACTAGAGACTATGGAGTCTAGTGAAGGAGCCAGACCAGCAGCCAGACACTGCCTTTGCCTTGCTGTTGCCATGCGCGCACTGCATCATTGCGCACATCACCACCACAACACACAGGCACACCACAGTCATCCCGTCTTTTTGCGTGAGCGCCATGAGGTGTTGCTGTGAGGTGCTTGCTGCTGCTCCTGCTGTTGCTGCTTGTTGGCCCCTCAGGAACGCGGCAGTCCAAGGAGGGGCGTTGAACTCCAACATCCATCCATCCCAACCTTCCCGGTCCTAGCTTCTGCTGGACATTTCCACACTTCCCCAGCTCGGGTTCCAGTGATCACGCTGCCGCTCCAGTCGTCCGTCTCCATCTCCCGTGCCCCGTCTTGTCTGTCCCCCAAACTCATCCCAGTCCAATCCACAGTCGTAGTCCCACGTTCGGCCAAGTAATGGTTCATTAGTTGACTGGATTTGCTCTTCTGACGCGACTTTGCAGGTTACCTTTTCCACGGGGCGAACACCAGGCAGAAAGGCATCATCATCGATACACAATACAATCTACACCTCTACACTAGACTACTTGTCTCTTTATACCCCCACCGCGGGACCAAAGAACAAGACGCGTTGCTCTGCCCTGCGCTGGCCCGGACAGTAAATCCAAAAGAACCAACCATCACCAGCCCATCGCCGTGTGGTGTAACAGCGACCCGTGTGTACACAGAGACACACAACATAAGGAGGCCATCAGGAGCAGCAGAGAACGGACTTGACGAAACGTCGAATTCGGGGACACGGGAATACCTATACACTTGCGGCAGGGTCGGTCTACCTCCTGCGGTACCTACGCCCAGAAATCTTGCTGGTCGTTGGTCATCCTGTTTACGACCGCACCAGTCCTGCAGTAAGGCGATCCATCCAGCAGACGCCGGCAAGGTTCCAGAGCCCCAGAGAGTCTCCAAGCAAGCCCGCGCTAGAGACACCACCACCCTGCACCCTTGGGTAGGACCCGCAGTGCCCCGTCCAGTCACCAGTCTCGTCGGGCCACCCATTCAACCCCCAGAACAGCCCCCCTCACTCTTCGCTACAGGTACCGAGCGTGCCGCTAGAAAGAGACAAGCAAAGGTCGGAGCGTTCCTTTGCTTCGGGTTCGGGCTGCCATATCCAGTCCTCGGGCTTCTCCCGTCCCTCCTCTTCATCGCCACCAGTCACCCCAAGGTACCCCATCAAGTCCCATCGTGCCCAGCCCCGGCCCTCCGTCACAGCCTGAAGAATCCCTGGACACGCGAAAAACAGGGGGACATTGACGCAGTCGCCTGCAGGCCGAGCCGCCCAAGAAAAAAAAAAGTGGCCTCAAGCCTTACCTAACACCCTTGCAACGTGTCCAACGACACATCACCGACCTTAATCAGTCTGTGCGAGCTGGCAGTCCAAGGAATTTAGAAAGACGTGAGCAGCCGCTGCAGGTAGCCAAATATGTCCGACTCCCCCCAATCCAATTCAAAGGATGTCGAACAAGGTGCACCGTCACCCGGAGAGGAACCACAAATGAACGACCCTCAGGACCCACACTCGAGCGGGCTCAACCAGTATGAGTTCGAAGTCAAGGAACAGGACCGGTGGTTGCCCATAGCCAATGGTATGTTACACACCTCGTTGCCTATCCCCTCTTGCCCTTCTTGACCGACCTACCTCTACCCGTCCCTATCTGCCTCTGGCCTCTGTCTCGGTGCCGGCGAGCCCTTGAGCCTCCTTTGTGTCTCTTGGTCTTTGTGGACAGTCACAGACCATGATTCGTGTGTGCGCCCGCCTCCCTCGTGGGAGTGTGTGTGAGGGTTCTAGCCGTGGCCAGACAGAGAGAGAGCAGGGCAGCACGCCCGCTTGCGCTTGCATGGCACCATGTCCATCCATGGCCGGGGGTTTGGCGACGAGAAACAGATCCGAGACCGTCTCCGACTGGCTTCGCTTCTGTCTTGCTGCTGTTGCTGCTGCTTTGGGCTTGAGAGCACTTCTAGAACAGCCGCTGCGCATATTCTCTACACACTTCCATGTCTCACCATTCGTCACCCAAGTCGCCCGAAGCGCCGCGCGCTTCTTCCTCCTCTTCCAAGGCCGACAGATGTGATGCTTATGATGCTAACATACGCAACTTTGCCCCAGTCGCTCGCATTATGAAGAATGCGCTTCCCGAAAATGCAAAAATAGCCAAAGAGGCGAAGGAGTGCATGCAAGAGTGCGTTAGCGAGTTCATCTCGTTTATCACCAGTGAAGGTACGTCAAAATCCACAATCATCCAGTCAGAGGAACAAGTTGGATCTGACCTATCACAGCCTCGGAAAAATGCCAGCAAGAAAAGCGCAAGACGGTCAACGGCGAGGACATCTTGTTCGCTATGACGTCTCTGGGATTTGAAAACTATGCAGAGGCTCTAAAGATCTACCTTTCCAAGTACAGAGAAGTAGGTCTCCATTCAAAAAGATTTCCCTTTTCGCGGGGCCCCTTTCGTACCACGGATCTTATTCCTACCTCGTGGCGTTTCGGCCGATACGATACCGAAGCATGGCGATTACGATTTTGAAGGTACGGGGAGAATATGAAAACCCGGCTAACTCCAGTAGCAGCAGAATCAGACCAATCGTAGCGAGAACCAGCAGAACCGACCTAGCAGTCAAGGTTACGGTGCGCCTCAGGGCCAGAACCAACCTGGACAGGGCGGGTTTTCTAGCAATGACCTCGGTCAGCAGGAGGGCGGTGATGCTCAAGGCTACAACCTCTACGGCGCCCAGACAGGTCATAACGGCGGCGGTGCTGAAGGGTACTAGGGGCTCATAGACCCCGAACTTGGCCGATAAGAACCATCCTCCGAAAATTCCAAGACTCCTGGAGCCTTATAAGCGCTGGCGGTGCTCTCCAACCCTATGGCCGTTGGCAGCGAACACTCATTCCAAAAAGCTTGCGGATGGAGGGGACGATCCGAACCCAGGTCCAGACGACGTTGTGCTCTTATTGAGACGTTCGATGATCCGGTTGCGATTCAAGACAAGCAAGCACCGTCATCCCGAGGAGAAGCGCCGTTGCTGCTGAAGCAGATGGACATGCCGGTGAAACTGGGAAGGATTACGGATACCCACACTCACCATTACCGAGCTTCTGATGTATGTGTATAACTATGGGTTGTTGCTTGTTGACTTTTCAAGGCAGTGAGCAGCGTCCTCTTACATTACTATGTTTTTCTTTTGCTTTTCTTTTTTTTTCTCTGGGGTGGATATTGTTTGGTCTTCAAAGATACATGAGCGGCCACCAAAATTGGTATTTAGTCGGCTAGCTGGCGCAATGAGCGGTTATGGATATTGCTGTCTTTCTTGGTGAGAGAGCCAGGGATGCTCTTGCATCTGGTGACTCTTGACCACCAGGTTAGACATGGTAATAAATAGCAATGACATCATCAGGAATAGACTGGAGATTGGATAAATTATCGATGTAACTTTTTTTTGAATGTCTTGATATTCCTTTGCTTCAAGTCATAATGCGTACTTACCTATGATACGATATTAATGACATGGGAATCTGGGGACTTGGGAGGTTGAACCCGATGTCAGTGGTTATGTAATCAAGCGTCACTCACCGAGACCGATAAGCTCACCGCCTTCCTGATCCGTCATTCAGGGCCCACATAGCGCGGCGTGCACGTGCCATACTGTGGAGGCAAATGGAGACCTTCCGGTCACTAACAGATGGGAAAAACACATTCAGAGTTGCAATTGATTTGTCTTTTCATTCCAGCGTAAACAAACTCTTTCAAGCGGTATCCTTACGGCCAGCAACGAAGAAAAGAACAGACCAGACCAGACCAGAGCGGAATGCCACTGGCCCAAGGAGACCCCCGCACTTTCTTTCGCTTCATCTGCTTGTAATCTCTTCAATTTCGACAAGTATCATGCTATTGTTGTTTGGCCAAATCTGCGACGGGAGCCGAGAGTGAGACCTGATCACCGTACCATCACCTGTCCGCCACTGGGACATTCAAGAAGACGTGCATTATCGAAAACGAAAGGATCGAGGAACTGCGTACCTTTCCCATTTCCACCACACCACCACGCTAGTTATCATCGTCGTTTTTTTTTTTCTGCCGGCCAAATCGATCTCCAGGGACCCACTTCCTATCAACAAAATAATCTCCAGATAATAGACCAACCCCCGGTTAGACGGCGAATATTATCCGCCCACCCCCATCCTCGATTCCGATCATGACGACTTCTACTCCGGTCGCGACCCGATCGCAGGCAACCCCGCTCACATCGTCCGCCATCAAGTCCATCCTACGAAAGCCGTCCACGGTGCTCGGGAGGAGGCCCAGGGAAGAGGACGGCGAGAGCAGCGACGGCTTACCAGGCAGCAGCCCGGCCAAGAAAAGGAAAACCGTCATGTTCACGACAAGCTCAACATGATCAAGGAGTTCGGTGGCAAGACGTTGGACGACGCAAAACGTGAGGTCAAGCAGGCCCTCGAGGGTCATGCCCGCGGAGACGACGAGGACTACGACGGCCTGAAAGAAATCTTCTGCCCGAGCCCGAAGCGAACGATTGTCGAAGAGGAAGATGCCGATACACCACAACCACAGGACCTCCAGGTTTACGTCGTGGCGCTGACCAGCCATGTACCATTGCTGGATAGATCGTGTTCGGGACTTATACGGGCGGTGCTTAGTTGCACGTGGCTGGACAGGGACGATGTTTTTGCACGGGCGTACATTCAGCTACTGGCAGCCTTGTCTGCGAAGGTGTCATTCAGGCAACAGGTACTCTCGATGATGGTCGAAAAGTTCACGGAGACACGATCCTCGACCGTGGAAGTTGTACCGGGGTTCCCGCCCGTCGATAGCGAGACGAAGAAAGAGCGGCTACATCTCGGTCTGAAATACCTACTCGAGCTCTACGCCGATGCACGACCGATGATCCTCGACATCGTAACGCACAACTTCCCACATACCGAAGAGTCGAAGACGAGACATATGGAATACATTGATCACTTGCTCAGGCTAAAGGCAGACAAGCCGGATTTGGAACGGGACATAATGGAGCTGATCCTCTCGCGATTGGTAAAGCTGGATGTGGAAATGACACTCGACCTGGAGAACGATGACGACGAGACTACACGGGCGGTTCTACGGCAACTCGAAGCCTCGAACGCTAAGAGCGATGACGAGGACGACGATGCCATGAGCGAAGCCGATTCGGACGACGAAGACGAGGAGGAAAGCGACGAGCAAACGCGGCGAATTCTCCTGCTAAAAAGCAAACTCGAAACCATGGATGCCATTCTCGACCTCATGTTCTCCATCTACGATCCCGTTTTCGCCGACCCCGATAGCCCAGAGGCACTCGCAACCTTCGAAGACCTCCTAACCGACTTCGTCAACGTCATCCTCCCCCATCTCAAATCGCGCCACACGCAATACCTCCTCTTCAAGTTTGCCATGAAGTCCAATCGGCTAATGGAGATGTTCATCGGCACTTTGTTCAACATCGCCTTCCAATCTACCCGAGCGCCCGTTGTCAAGCAAGCGGCCGTCGCCTACCTGGCCTCCTTCACAGCACGAGGAGCCCGCGTGCAGAGCGACCAAGTGCAGCTGATCGCGCAGACTTTTCTGGATTACATCGATCACTACAGAAACACCCACACCAGCTGCCGCGGACCGGACATCCGGCGCTATAGTCAGTACTATGCGTACTTTCAGGGGTTGCTGTACATCTTTTGCTTCCGCTGGCGGGACCTGATCGATAGGGACGAGATCCCCGCGACCTTTGACTGGGACGATCCGGCAAGTTTCCTGGGGCAGGATTTGCCGTGGATGAAGGGGTTGAGGCAGCGGTTGCAGGTGAATATTGCGAGTAAACTTAATGTAAGCCACCCACCAGCCTACTACCTATCAGCTTTTGTGCGTTTGCTAACGAGATGAACGAAACAGCCCCTAAAATGCTGCTCCCCCATAATCGTCGACGAATTCGCCCGTCTCTCCCACCACCTCCGCCTAATCTACATCTACCCGCAAATCGAAAAGAACAAGACCATCCACCTCTCGCAGTTCTTTACCAGCTCATACGCCACCGGCGGCGCCCTCCGCGACTCCGGTTTCGAATTCGACCACGAGAACTGGACGCACATCGAGGCTTGCTTCCCGTTTGACCCCTTCCAGCTACCCGTCGCCAAGAGGTGGTTGGATTTGGACAAGAATTATGTCGAGTGGAGGAGTATTGCTGTGCTTGAGAAGGGTGGGGATGCTGATAGTGATGAGGACAGTGATGATGAGGATGATGATGTGAGCGAGGATGGGATGGGCGAGATTGGGGATGCGAGTGATTATGAGAGTGATGAGGATGTCCATGTGGGGGAAGGGGATGATGAGGATGGTGATGATAGTACGGATGGAGAGGAAGAGGAGGGTATCCATGGGAGTTTTCGGAGGACTTAGAGGACTAGTGATGGGGTGGGGTCCTTTTATCATTGCGGAAGAGGGAGGAAGAGAGTAGGTCGTTATTTTCATTGTTGGTTTTCTTTTGGTAGGGTTTTATCTGTTCAATCTTTGCATGGCGAAAGGGGGTGGGAAAGCGCATCGCATCGTATCGCCTTCGTCACTTATGGCGTTTTAGGGAAGGGAAAAAAGGGACGGAAAAGGAGAAAGGCAACAGGGTCGGAAAATTAAGTTTTTTTCTTTGGTCGGAACTACAAGGAAGGGTAGGGCATCATATGGGATTGAGGCGAGGAACCGTAAGGGTTGGAAGATCAGGGATAGGATGGGATGGACCTGGAATGGGATGAGGAGGACATATCATACGGATGGGGTGAACAGTGAGATAGGATGAGAGGAGGATATACCATAGGTAGAGAGAGAGAGAGGTGCGACGGATTCGAGGATTCGAGGTATGAATCAGCAATAGTAGCGAAGGAGTAAGCAAACAAAACCTACTTAGCTCTATCTTATCTAGCCAAATCAATGCAAGCAAGATATTGATACATAACTCAAATACCATCCTGGCCTGCAAATCGTCATCTCCTCTTCCTCTTCTTTCTTCTTTCCTGCTGTCAAGGGTGGCCCATTCCATCGTAGCGTTGCATCCCCCCAAAAAGGTATTTGTCAACACCAAGCAAGCGAGGAACTTTGGCCAGTCTAGGGTTGGACGACATGGGATGGATCCACAAACCCCAGGCGCCGTGGGCCGATCCTGGAGCCATCAAGGTTGTTCATCTGCTTTCTACATGTCCGCTTTGAGAGGTGCAAGTCCGTTGGATGAGGATGGGGGCGGATGGATGGATGGATGATAGATGACAGGTGACAGATGAATGACAGATTGGCAGATGAATGATAGATGATAGATGAATGTCATATCAATGACAGGTTGACAAGGTGGGTTACTACTGCTCTAACATCCACCATGAGGAGGAAGGATGCTCAGAAGGTATTTGAATAAGTTCCAGGTTGATTTGAGTTTGGTTTTGGGCTGGCACCTGGCAAAGTGTCAGTGACCAAGGTGGACACTTTCACGTTGGCGAGCCAGAGGTGTCACTGGAAGTCAAGAGTGACACTCGGAGAGTTCCATTGATATCAGCCCAACGGGAATTTGGGTTGTCTTCTTGCGGAGTGTCCTCATCAAAGTCCTCTCGGTCTCCTCTGTCGGTTACTCTGTACGAAGTCTCGGAGTATTTACCTCGATGACCATACCATATCACGGCGGTACACAGATGTAGCTAGCTACCTGCTTTGGTTGCTGTGGTACATGTCCAACTCCTCAAAGAGTTATTCTCTTCAAAACTACGTCTAGTCCATCGCTGTTTACTTTTGTATGGAAACATATTGTCAAGAAGCTTCTACTTTCTTTTCAAGTACTCTGCGGATGTTATCCAGAGTTTGAGCACCTGGGCGTATCCACGTTTACTTCGTTCAACCGCTTCCCAGGAAGGTATCAAGACCTTCAACGATGTCTTCTTGTTCTTCTTTCTCTTCTCCTGTCTCTTCAACCTATTCCTCGTCCTCAGCCAGCTCCATCATGTTCAAGGAGACACTCGTACCTACCATTTCACCACTCCTTCAAAAAGACATCAAACTCGACACCAGCATCAACCCGCGATACCCATTGGAAAGTCCCACCATGAAATCACCTGCCTCTCTATCGTCCTCTTCATTATCATCCTCTCCAACCTCACCGAGCTCACCCAGCTCTTCGGCCTCTCCAACCTCACCCAGCTCAACAACCACATCAACAACCACAACTACATCGACAACCGCAACCACACCACCGCCCTCCATGTCAGAAGACCAACACCACCACCAACACCAATTGCAAACCCAATTCCAAAACCAACACCACCACCAGCACGAACCCCACGAGTACCAACCAGACATATCCACAAACCGAAACAACCAAAACCAAACCACATCTACCTCTACCTCTACCTCTACTTCCACTACATCCAAATATCACACCCGCCGCCTCCAAGTCCGCCGCGCCCAATCCTCCCACCGCCTTCGAAAAGCCGATTACATCAAACGTCTCGAGCGCGAAATCACTTGCATACGGGGGATGATTGACGCTGCAAATATGGACGTCGATCTCCTAGCGCGAGAGAATCAGGGGTTGGAGTTGAGGATGAAGATTTGAGTGTCTAAACTCTACTGTCCAAAGGTCTTTAGAATTTTTGGACGTTTGGACGTTTGGACGTGAGGGCTGGATGGGTAGGGGATTTGTATTGTGCTGTGTGGCTGAAAGGAGAGAGGGTGAAGAGGGTGAAGAGGGTGAAGAGGGTGAAGAGGATGAAGAGGGCGAAGAGGATGAAGAGGGTGAAGAGGATGAAGAGGGTGAAGAGAGAAGGGGGACGAGTATGCATTGTCAGATAAGAAGTACTTAAACTGAATGGCAACGTATTTCGCTTTAGATACAAGTATGCTCACTATAAGTATAAACAGAGCTACGTATGTAATGTAAATCAACGCTTCTGACAAACTCTCAAGTACAGGATATGTTTACCTCTGTGATTTACCCACAAGTGAATCCCACCTCTCGTATCATTCGCTTTCAATAGTTAATACCGTCCTCTGGCAGCCAGAAAGCAACGACCCTCTCATTCGTGGCCGGTCCCCATTGTCCCGACCGTGCCATGTCTCTGAGCATCCTCCCTCCTGCCTTTGCAACCACCACGTTGATCAGCCTTTGAGCATTGACACCCGGCTGTCCCGGGGGGTCATGGAAAGGCGGGCCATCCAGAACACGGCGAGCCTCATCTAAAAACGGGACGAGCTGCCTGTTGTCGCTGATCGCGCAGAGCCAAGGGGGCTGGTCTTCCTAGGGATTATGAGACAGTGTTTGAAAGTACTCCCTTGCCAGTCCATTCGTTTCAAGCCAGGCGAGCAAGGACAGAAGAAGCGCGTAGCGAGAGATGACGAGAACGGGAATTGAAGAGAAATCTTCCACTGGGTAGTTATGATCCTGTAGTTTTATAGTGGTGGGTTAGCTGAGGCCTTATCTCTTGTGCGTCATGCTCTCGCTAAAAAAAGCCATGTTACGGAGGAGAGGAAAGGGGGAAGAGATTAAGAAGTGCGTGCCTGGTTAGAAGTGCAAGGAAGGAGACCAATCCCAATACTTGTAAACCATCTTCGTGACGAATGTCCTCGAGGCAGAATATGATTGCCGGTCTGGTGGGGCATTCGCTGCTGAATCGGGAGGCTCGTTCGGCATTTAGAATCCGATGCAGTGAGTAACTGCGCAGCATATCCTCGCTGGAAAGTAAAAAGAGAGAGAGGGTTGGAAAGTGGCTGTGCTTGGGCATTTGAAGGCCAATGTCGTGGTATGTTTCCTCGGTCTTTGTATAGGTGTGTAAGTACCACTGGTTGATTGATAAATGTCATGGCCAGGAATGTGAACACTGAACATGTACGTTCCTAGCGATCTCCGCGGATACCAATGACCGCATTCATGATCGTTTGCCATTCCGGCTTAATTTGACCGTGGTGGCCAAACACATGCTTGCGCTGATCAGCTGTCTTGACATCTAGCTGAGACTCAAGCTATGAGTCCGTGTAGTTACTGGTCGAAAGAAGAATAAGATAAAAAGCGAAAGGTAGGAATGGGGAAAATGGTGAAGATGGTGAGTGGTGATGATTTGTTTATCCAATGAAAAGGGTATCGTCTAGCTTTGAGTAGGTATCTGGTGTGCTGTCTAAGATATTCCTCCTCCTCCTGTAAATGTAGTCCGCCATGCCTGCCGTATTTATCGTGATGCAAAACTGCCGAGTGTTCCCGGGCCCTTTCATCCGTCGCTCTTCCCTTGGATTGCGTGTAGCTCCTCAACATGATCCTCACGCTTGCTCGCGTTGCCTGGGGCGGAAAAGGGTCCGGTATAATACAAGGTTACGTGTATGCCCACGTATTGAGTGTCGTATGGTATGTCTCTCTTCATAGTCCGTCATTCAACATCGAGGGTCGCTGGGACCAGGATCGTTCGACCGGTATGAGGAGCTTGCGGTGTCAATAATATGACCAATCCGTAAGTCATACTTAGAAGCCCAACTTCCCGGCAAGTCCAGAGAAGGTCCTCGTAAGAGCAAAGCCATCCTCCGACTCATCTGAAGAGCCTGCCGCTGGCGCCGGGAAGATGGGCTTCTTCGTCTTCGGATCCTTGTATGCCCTCAGCGCATCCTCAATAGCCTGTAACCTCGCCCGCCTCTCCTCATCCATCTTTAGGAACTCCTCCTCCCTCTTCCTTCCCTCTTCCAACTGCTTCTCTAAATCCTTTATCCTCAGCATGTTCGCATCAGGCTTTGCCGAGGACCGGTAGTACTCGTACAGCAATAGCGAACTAGCAATCGTCAGGATGAACACATCTCCAATCACATCGGCAAACAAGTCCACGGCCTTGGGCTCTGGCAACGGCCTGAACTTGCGCCTCCATATGCTCTTGGGCGGCTCCTTGACGGGATGCGACTCCTTTGGTACTACGCCGTACTTGGCTTTGAGTTCCTCCTCTTTCTTTATTTGCTCTTCCGTCTTGACGGTGGGCGCTTCGGCTTTCTCCTTTGCTTCCTTTGCGCGCTGCTCGGCGTCGGCGTTTCGAAGGGCGAGGACGGACATGCGCATGTTGAGCTGGTGCATCATCTGGCCATACTTGGCAGCGAAGGTGCGGAATCGAGGGTGTTCATGGGCCTGGTGTTTGATGTGGTTCTGCGCAAAAACATGTTAGTCACGGCCATGGAAGAGGAAGGGCAAGAGGAGGGAAAGGTAGAGAGACATACTGCGCCATACTTGGAAACATGCCGCACAAAGAGGGCGGCAAGCTTAAAGAGAGGAAGCGAGACAACCATGATGAGGTGTTGCCAAGGAGGTAGGTAATCAGGGAAACCGCTGGTTGTTGGTGGTTTGTGAGTGGTGGTCCCGAGGTTCCGCGAATGGGACGGATTGGGTTGAACAAGATCCAAACGAATGGAAGCTCTTGTGGCTGGTAATTCAGGTAGAAACAAAGAATGTTTACTGTGTAGGTCGCAATCGTTGTTTCTACAGGCGCATATGACAACACTTCAGTCAAATTGAGGAAATCTTCAAAAGTTCGGATGACGAACAATTCCAGCATCCTACAGCTTCCGTCATGCTCCATCGGGGGCTCCATCGCCGGCACAGAGACCTGAACGGCGGGGACTGCAAGGTATCGATAAGCTCAACCGCAGCTGCCTGTAGATGATTGGAGTAAACAGCACGCTAACACCGATTGAACATGTCCCGGGCCGCTAACAGCCAGCTCACCACCCCACTGAACCGGACGAGTCAGGCCCCGTGGTCCGTCTGTGGGCGCGCTGGGGTGCTGGCTTGGCAGGCGACTTGGCTGGGCTGGAGAGGCAGAGAGGGCCCGGTCCCCGCAACAACCTGCCCGTTGCCCTGGCGACTTGACTGGGCAGGGACAAACAAAGGTCTGCCTGCCAATTTCATTCCTTTGCAACCTCCGTTCTTGACTTTGGTCAATTGAATTCAACACAACCTAACAAACGAAGCTTCATCATTTTTGCCCGGTGCTTCTTTCCCACACTTCATCTTCCTTTGGCCTCCACCTGACATTCACGAGCCTGGGTTTGCATCTTGATTTCAGCTTGCGCGCAATCTTGGGAGTACTAATTATTTACCGGCCTTCGTTGTCTTTGTCACCAATTATTCCTCCGACCCTCCAGCGCGCACTCAAGTCCAATCCGCGCTGCACATCTTCAACTGACGACAATTATCTTCATGATACTGCCTGGCTTACCTCCACTTCGAATTCCAGGTCGCCGAGCAGTGCTTGACGATTCCTAGTCCCACTGTGAGTTTTTGCTTTTTCCAAAACAATTGGCGCTGTCCTCTGTCCCTCTTCCTCTGCTTCTTCCCTTCTACCTTGCCAGCCACCGTTCAATCCCCACTTTGGACACCCCCTTGCTTTGTTTACTTTCTCGTCTCTAACCATGTGGAATCTCCACTCCTTAGACCTTCAGATAATTCACGGCATTGAATGACCCGACGAACAAAACGAAACTCCCGACCGACGACACCGACGTCGAACTCGACGACTCCCTAATATTACCCGACCTGTTTATCCTCGAGGCGCTCGAGAAGTCATGGGAATGAGAGGTGTCGGTATGGACGCCCTATCCCCTAGAGATGTTAACGCCCAGGCGAGACCGAGAGCCCATGAGCTAAAGTCCAAGGCAGCTGCCGGGCTCAAGGCTTCCAAGGACAAAGACCACCCTCCGCCGCCGCCGAACCATGTCAACGAACCTCCCAGCTCCGATCGCAAAGAGGGCGCCATCTACCAGGTCGGCAAGCCGCTGGGAAAGGGCGGCTTTGCTATCTGCTACGACGGCAAGCTAATCGGTAGCTCCAAGCGATATGCCCTCAAGATCGTCAAGGCCCAGATGGCCTCCAAGATGGAGCAGAAATTCCAGACCGAGCTCCAGATCCACTCCAAAATGCGACACCCGAATATCGTCCAGTTCCACCGCGCCTTTACCTTCGAAAACTGCACCTACCTTGTTCTCGAGCTATGCTCCAATGGCTCCCTGATGGACATGGTCAAGCGTCGCAAGGGTCTGACAGAACCCGAAGTGCGCTTCTACACCGTTCAGATCGCCGGCGCCATCAAGTACATGCACGCCAAGGGCATCATCCACCGTGATCTCAAGATGGGCAACATCTTCCTCGACAAGTACATGAACGCCAAGATCGGAGACTTTGGCCTGGCTGCCTTGCTCCTGACCGGAAAGGATATGCAGATCATGAGGAGGACGACACTATGCGGAACACCCAACTACATTGCGCCAGAGATTCTTGAGAAGGGAAAGAAGGGCCATGACCACATGGTGGACATTTGGAGTCTGGGTATCATTGTCTATGCCATGCTTACCTCGAAACCACCTTTCCAGTCTTCGACGACCGACGAAATCTACCGCCGCGCGAGAGAACGTGACTACGAATGGCCATCGCCCGATGCTACACAAAAGTACTACAGCTTGGAGGCCAAGGATCTTGTCGCAAGCATGCTACAAGATGCCGACATGAGACCCGACCCAGATACCATTGTCTCCCATCCCTTCTTCACCTCTGGCTACATGCCCGTACCTTCCGACATTTCGTCCAGACTCCGAGAGTCCGCACCACAGAACCCAGCATTCTATGATCCTCTTTCCGGTCCCCGGGCGGAGGCAGACAATCTCCGCAACGTGCAAGAGATGTGTAAGGAGTGCAGTGTTGGACCATGGTGCACACAACAGTTTGTCTTCAAGAACATCTGGCGAGAGATGGCAGAGGAGGAGGCAAACGGCCTAACCCCTGTTATTCCGCTCGCCGAAGGTATTGTCTACAGGCCCTATGACGAGATCAAGACCGAGGCAAGACGTCGCGCTCGTCTACTACAGCAACAGCAAGCCGAACAGCAACCCGCCAAGCTGACTTCATCGCAGCAACCTCAGAAGCGCGTTCCCTTGGCAGACATTGGTGGAAGCAGAATGGAGGGAATAATACATTCACAACCTCCAAAGCCGGTCGTGGATGACCTGAGCAACAGTCTCGCCCAGGCGAGCATCGCCAACAGGGGCACCACAGGACTTCTCCGTGCGCCACCTCAGAGTTTTGCGGCTCAACAGAGGGCCCAAGGCAGGCCTCTTGCTACAGTCAGGTCGCAGACGGTTCCAGAACCGGCTGTCCGAAGTGTTAGCTCTACTTCGGTACGCACCCGGTCTAGCAGGCGGGAAGTGCCAGAGGCTGCTCCTGATGCACTAGGATCCCAACCAATCCGACCCACAACTCGCAGCTCTCGCAGCTATCCAGCTACCAGAAGCCAGGCGACGGTGTTGCCAACGCCAACTGAGGAGCCCGCTCCTGCCCAAAGGAGTGCGCCGACCTTGACAGCGCAAAAGCCCCAGGAAGACAAGCTGAGTCTCTTCAGTCCTACCGAGTATCAAGAGGCAGTACCAGGGACTCAGCCAGACATTGTTCTCGAGAGACTCCGCAGACTGAAAGCAGAGTTGGAAAGGGCACTCAACGCTCGCTCAATGGCTCTTGTATCCTCCAGGGACAAGACACCATCGCCTCCTCACATTGTTGTCAAGTGGGTTGACTACACCAACAAGTTTGGTCTAGGCTACATCTTGAACGATGGCAGCGTCGGATGTATTCTTCGTACAATTCCTACTCAGGAGGGCAGCCGGAGCGGCTTGCTACCACCTGCTTGCGTGCTTGTCCACGGCGCGGAACGTCACTGCCAGCGCAGAGACGATCCAAGGTACCCAGACAGGCACCAAATCCTGCCCCAGAATGAGGGGGTATATTTTTACGAAAATAATGGCGAGGACGGCATCAACCGTGTCCGTGTTCCGCCTCAGAACTTCCATATCCCAGTGAACGCCGACGGTACTACGGGTAAGTTGACAGCTGGTAGGGACATCTACGACCACCGTAAGCGGGAGCGCATTGTGTTATGGAAGAAGTTCGCCAACTACATGATTCAGTATGGCCGAGAGTCAGACAACCAGGATGATGCGCCAATTCGGATGCCCACTATCACGGACCCGACTGTTGCGCCGAGTGATGTTGTCACTTTCTACCAGAGGTTTGGTGATGTCGGATGCTGGATGTTTTGTGATGGTCATTTCCAGGTACGTTACCCTTCCTCTTTTTTCCTTTTGCCCTCACCTGACTAACAGTAATGGCAGTTCAACTTCCCCGACCACACCAAAATCGTCCTCGACCCCACCGGTACATTCTGCCACTTCTGGCACCTCCCCGAGTCCGCCGCCACCCACCTCTCCATAACCGGCTCCCTCTCCGAATCCGCTCTCGACGAGCGTTCCGTCCTCTCCTACCCCTTACAAACCCTCCTCAACTTCTCCTCACCCTCCCGCTCTACCACCATCACCAGCACTTCTACGTCTCGCCGTCGTCCCGAGATTCCTACCTCCTTACAAAACATACCTGCCGCTAACCACTTCCGCGAGAAGATCATGTTCATCCGTGACGTGATCAGGGAGTGGTCGGCCAACGGCGGACTCGGCAACAGCGACATGTCTCGCGAGAAAAGGATGAGATGGACGGGCTGCAGAGAGACGAGGAATGCCACGGGCCCAATGAAACATGTTTGGGTAACGATTGGAGCGCGGTGGGGTGACTCGAGATTGAGTGCGTATGTGGATCCGAGGAGACCGGAGGAGATGGGGGAGGAGGTTGATGAGAACGCGAAGAGGAGGTGAAGCCCATGATAAGGAGCAAAGGGTGGATGTTGAGAAGAGGGTGATGTTGAGAAAGAGGAGATGGGTGGCTTATTTATGTCTTTCAAAGCCAAAAAGGGAAATTGCATTATACCCACCACGACGACGCGACGTATGATTCACGCGTGCGATGCCACATTTCATGGGCGATGCAATAGGCGTAAGTTTATTTCTATAGGGAGGCGTTGGTTTTCTGTTCTTTTCCTATCACTATCTATCTAGTTCTAGGTGTGGACGGAGGTCTTTCCCAATTGTAGGAGTAGTTCTATATGGTCCTACGGGTTAGTACTTGAATGGGTAGCTGGGTATGGGAATGGCATTGTCTTTAAAAGTCATGAGCGTCTGGCCTATCTGTCCGTCTGAGTCTTTGTAGAAGAATACTGTACGCTGTACATGTTACGATTTATTAAACTCTGTCTCCCAGCCTGTTTGGTTCTTTCCTTATTGAAAAGTACTTGGTAGGTAAGTAAAGTAATGAACAACGGTCGAGGCGAAGAATGATCCACTCTGTAATGCATACCCGTCTGGCCTCCAAGCGGCTCCAGACCAGTTTCACCCCCATTGGTCGGTAACGTTTCGAGCTACGACGAGTAACTCGTTGATGACAACATAAATGAACTTGATACTGAAGTACCTAGTCTCCGTATTTTATTGATCACCGTCTGCCTTCCCACCTTCTAAATATCATTTGTTTACTCACAATCCTTTTCATCCCTTTCGTTCCCTTTTACTGAGTAGAAACAACCACCACAAGTATTTGAGCGCCAGGTGACAAGCGACGAACAGATTGTGACTAATTCAAATCGGGTTACGAAGTAAGTACATCGTCATTGATCAAAATCAATCTTGCTCTTCTCACCTTGGATTTAGCTGCAAATTGATCTACCTAATAATCATAAAGGCCCCAAGTATGATTCTCACCGGTTTCTTCACGCATGATCCTTGTTGTCTTCAACATATACACATCCTGAAACACGAGGAATATTCTGAATTAAGGCACTTCAACCAAATACACTCATTATAATCGAAACGCATGTGTCTCTGATTTGAGACCAGTGCAGTGGCATCCTGGGTTTATTAAATCCTTTCCTTAAAGCTGCTCATATTGCGTTTACGATTCTTACGGCTACTCGCACTCGCTTACCAAGTAAGTTTTCCAGGTTGTCATGGTTAGAACTAAGCCTGTGACGTTCGAAGTAATTGTATGTTGTGTTGTGTGCCACGAGAGGAAAAACAGTCATGTACGTATCGTATTGTTCATATCTAGGTAGAAGCTCCCTAAATATTCATCCTTCCTTCTCATGCTGGTTGGTATTGGTATTGTAAAGCCAATATTTAACAACTGAACAGACAGACGATCCGACTCAAACAAGCAACTTCCCCCTTCTCAACATAGGAACATTTTGGCCCAAAGAGCTCTGCTACACAAATGTACTGTTTCTCCAAACATGGGTCCAGTAGCAGTGGTGGGCGTTCCTGGCTTAAAGAAATAAATAAGAACAAACAGAAAGGTGATATCAAGTGCGAAAAACAAAATGACGACAGCATACCCAACCATTCAAGCCCCACCGCAAACATACAGAAAGCTTAAAAGTCCCAGAAATTGTCAGACTTGAGGGTCTGCTTCTTGCCAGGGTTTCGGTTTTGGAGGTGCAGATCCTGAGGGTCCTCCTCAGAAGTAAGCCAGTTCCGCTCCGTTCCCTTCTTGCCACCCATGCCATCTCCGGCAATGGTGATCCCCTTGTTGGCAGCGGTGCTAGCCTCGAATCCCTTTCTGCTGCCCATACCATCACCTGCAATAGTGATGCCGGTGTTCGAGTTCTTTTTTGGTTGTACGGGCGACTCGTTCTCCATCGACCAGTGACTTTCCAATCCACGCTGAGCCGCTTGACGATTCTCAGCGGCCTTGGAGCGACCGTTCTTCTCAGCCTGAGGAGATTCATCCGTAATGTCAAAGTGAGGCTCGAAGTGTTTCTCCCTGTTCCTGGCGTTGGTGATGTTGCTCAGCGCACGGGGTGCAGGTGATGGCGCACTACCATCAGCCTTAATGAGGTTGTCGTCATATAAGTGGGAGCCTGCATTTGAGCCAGCGCCGCGCTTGTTGATCTGATCCGGGGATGGCGCACTACCGTCAGCCTTCATGAGATCATCGTCATACAAGTGGGAGGCTGCGTTCGTTCCAGCGCCACGGTTGCTTCTCTGGACCGGGGATGGGGCACTGCCGTCAGCCTTCATGAGGTCATCATCATACAAGTGAGAGGATGCGTTGGTGCCAGCGCCGCGGTTGTTCTTCTGGACCTCGGGAGATGGACCGTCGTTGCCAACATTCCAGTGATTCTCGTCATCACGGCGCGGCTTACGCGACGCCCTGTTTTGCGGAGTCGAGGGGCCTTGGTGCTCTTCGTCGTCAACGCTGCTAAGGAAGCTCTTGACAACCTTCCGGGTAGGGGCTGGCTTCTCAGGGGAGTTGAAGTCGTCGAAAGACCACTGGCTGTCATGCTTGGTCTTGGGTTTCTTGTCGAAGGGAACACCAGGCTGGGGTGCGTCGGCGGGATCGGAACCGTCGGCAAAGTCAAAGTGCTTGTACTTTGTCGGATCTGGCTTCACCTTGCGCTGAACAGCATAGATCGATTGGGGTGTATCGGGAATTTCAGGCATATTATCGTCAGTCTCGAAGAGACGGATGGGCTGGAAATGCTTCGAGGCGCCAGCCTTGGCCGCGGCGCCTGGAGTCATTGAGCGGCTGCGGTCGGTACTGGGCGAGGTAGGGTCCTCAACTGGTCCATCTCCAATAATCTCCTCCAAGCCCCGTTGGCGAGGCCTGCTTCCAGCATATGGAGAGACAACAGGCTCTGATGGGCTTGCGGCCTCTTCGCGAGAAGCGAACAGAGAAAGCGACGCATGAGGATCGCGCATGGCGTTGGTAACTTTGGGACGGGTGGTCGTGGAGCCCTGGTTTTCGGTAGCGGGAGTTCCGCCTTCCTTGATGCATCTGTTGATCAGGCTGATCTGATCTTTGCTGTCGCGAATTGGCCAGTTGCGACCGGACCTGCCAATAACCTCAACTTGCTTAAGAAGCGAGCCTTGGTCCCAGCTCTGTCGGATTTGTGTGATCTTGCCGTCGCTGTTGAACGTTACGATGTGGAACTGTTACACGCAGAGTTAGCACTGAACCGGGATTCATGAAGGAAGAGGTAACATTGGAAGGGAAAGCTTTGGCAACTCACAATAGTAAAGTTGACCTTGCGATCGGCGACATAGTTGTCTTCCAGGCCGGGGAGATAGGGGCCTCCTTGGATGAGAAACTCAAGCGACGTGTTGACCTCTAGCGCGATGGCATCTTGGCCTTCGATGGCATAGAGAACGGTCTCCTTCTCCTTCTTCACCTGGCTGGCAAGGGAAGATAGGTGCTTGGTGATGTTGGATGCGCCGACAATGCTGGTGGTGGTTGTGATGTAGTGTAGGGACGCGTCGTCCGCGAGCGGAGCGGCACTTGGCGACCCAAGGAACCTCTTGTATGCGTCCTGCAATGACATGGCTGCAGTTGGCGATGGTGAGTCTTGCTGACAAAATAATGACAGCCGCGTTGAATGTTCTAATCCGATGCGAGGCGCAAAGATAGCTGTGATAATATCTTGAGGCGGGGGTGGTTGGATAGCAAAAAGCCGACCAAGAAACAAAGACCTTGTTCAAAAGCTGTTTGTCGAGAGAAAGAGGGGAAATGGAGAATTTCAGGAAAATATCAACAAAAGTTGAAAAGACTCAAGATAAATCCAAGGGAGGAAAACAGTAACAAAGCTGGAGCTTGTTGGGGCAGGTGCAATGTTTGGAAGAAGTGAAGGACTGACGCATGGAATAGAAGGGGCAGGCATGGCGACCGGGCAATGCAAGGTTAGCAGGGATTGCTGGACAATGCATGGGGAAGGGGGTCCATCATTGCAGTCCACTTCCCACTTTCGCTCCCTTGGGTCCCTTGGGTCCCTTGGGTCCGAGGAAGGCGCAGACAACACCGTCTGCTCTTTCACGGTTGACTAGAGGTACCTTAGTAGTCAATACGGGAACAGGGAATTCAGCAATCTCCTGGGAAGAGCCAAATAGTAGGGTATCTGCAGTGGTGAATGTCAAATCAGTATCTCTGGTGTCGAGGACTAAAGTTGCCGCCATATCGACCGCAGGTTAGAAGAAATCTTTCCAATCAGAACCACATCTCCCAATTCGCATCTGCTGGTGATCACGCAGGCACAGTCGATATGCTTGTGAGTTCTCGTGCTGCATTAGCGCAGATGGTTTATTGATTGGACGCCCTAGGAACACTCAAGCGAAACGGAAGGCACCTTGATATCTATCAAATCAGTTATTCTTTTGTACTTCAGTAGTACGCCCACCAAGGTAGAACAAGCTCACTATATCGAAGTCGATTTGGACATCCACCAGATCTTGTGACAGCCAAACAAAACAAACTCGTGCTTGTGTTATCATTCACACGGGAGCCGGGCTACGGATTGATAGCGAGCGGTACGTACCCAAAAGAGGTGCGGGGTTCGTTGCACGGCCCCATGTGGTCAAGTCGCATTAAACTGCAAAGAGCCGTTGCGTTTCATAAGGGCAGGGGTTCCGGAGCAGGAACACGCTATACCCGATTTGTGTCGGTGTGGTCCACTGCGACTTGACGGCCTCCGTCATTTTCCCTTTGTTTCAACTTCCCGTGTCCAACATCGCAGACAAGAAGTCGAACACACATGGACGACCAGCTTGTGATTCAAACGAGCTTATATACATACACCAACACATCCACAACCCTCGCTACATCTCACGGACCTCTTTTACCGAAATGAGTCCGCGTCAACCATGCATGGCAATGTCCCCTTGGACTATCAATCAACCCCCGAGCCGTAATAACCAAAGCTCGGCTGCTGACAGCTCAACACTTATTCCACTTGACAACACCATCCATCTCCCACCACCACCGACTGACCTCCTGCTAGTCATGCCAAACTGGATCCCAAAATGCCATTGTCTGAGGAAAGCCCGTCTTACTGGCAAACAGAAAAAGGCGGTATCATCGGCCTTGGCCTCTACTAACCACGGTGATCCCCATGGTGCATAGTCACCGCCGGTCTAGCCAAATAGTCCGTTTCAGGTGAAAATGTCAGCTCTACCGTGCCAAACCGTACCCCGTTGTCGGCTCCTGGTTCGCCAGTTCAATCAGCCTTGCGAGGCACGCTCTTTGTTGAGCCACCTGAACCGCCTGTTGTGCGACCTTGCGGTTTGCTCTTGATACCGCCTGTGTTGCCAGCAACACGTCCGGGAACCACTCCCGGTTGGAATGAGGTCCCCGTTCCAGTACACATGACGGGATGGATCTGGTTTCCAAGTCCCGAAACTAGCTGATCACCCGTTTTGCATACAGTAAGTGGGACACATGTGATATCCACATTCTGCGTAAGCAGCCTGGGTTTATATCATCGCGGCTGTGGTGTGTGGTTTGTTTTCTTTCTTTTCCTTCCCAACTCTTTTCGCTTCCATCAAGCGAGCTTATTCTTGTAACTTACCCGGCGGCTTTAATCTTAATACTCGATTCGATCACCACAAATATCTATCCTGAGGTATCCCTCACCTCTCATCACCAACAATCACAGACTACGCGAGAAACAAGATGCTGGTCCCACTGATGTTCTTGCCCGAGTTGGAAGCCACTTCCAAGACATCGGAACCTCAGCCTGAGACAAGACTCAAACCTCAATTACACACCCAAAAGAATCACAACAGCTACAATGGCACCCGAACGTTACCGATAGCCACCCGCGTTCGACGTCAACAAAGGCCCATACCAGACTCCGATTCAGAGGCTCAGACCACCGATAAACAGGAACGGAAACCTAAGCACAGGTCAAAGTCAAGAGACCCAGAAGACGAGTTTCCTCTCTACGAGATCACCCTCTATTACCCTCACAACCGCGCCTGCACGATATATCGCTCCCGGCAAGACTTTTTGCTCTTGAGGACAGGCTTTACGTCACGCTCGTCATCCACCGCACCACAACCTCTCTCAACACCGCGATCAGACCGCATGATCGATGGCGAAAATGATCATACATCAGATGGCGAAAAGGTCTCCAAAGCAGCTGCAAAATGGGATAAACTCCTAAGAGCGGCGGTGGAGAGCTTCGCAAAGTATGGCCATGGCCGTCACTCGGTTGAATGGTTCCTGAGGCGACGGCTAGGGGACTGCGAGCGGGTGGCGTGCGGGAACGGGACAGGATTGCCGGCTGGGACGACGAGACGGATAAAGGTCAAGCAGCCCAGAGGCTTGGACGATACGAAAATAACTGATGAAAGATCAGAAAAGCAAGAGGACAAAGTGGGGAATACAGACGAATCGGACGGAGAAGCCGCTACCACGGAGGGAAAATGTCTTCATGACACAAACGAGGACGAAGCGGAAGACAACATCACGAAACAGAGTCGGGCAGATAACGAAAACGATATCGACAAAAGCCATTCGCCCAAGGACGAAGAGACGCACAAAGGCAAACGATCAGATGGAGGACGAGACGAAATCGACAATGACGCGGACGATGGTCCTGAGGCAGCGAGACCCAAGGCGAAACTATTTACAGAGGTGCTGATAGGTCTGGACTCGGTACCGGTGCGTCCCTTCAAACCTATTCCCGACCTTGGCAAACTTGAAGGATCGTCCCTGGCCAGAAGGCGAAAACACAAGCAGAGCATCGAGAAAACAGGGCACGATGTGGAGCGGAAGACACTACGCAACGGTTGCAATGTGCTTCAATGCACCATCGAGGATTGTGATGGTCAACACGGCCGGTTGGTGGAACCTTGGGAAACGGATGGGGATGCGCGAGGAGGATTGGACTCTATGATAGGGGTCGACAAAAGGGAGGAATCATCATCATCATCATCATCATCATCATCATCGTCGTCCGACGGCACAGTGGTGCTTACACCAACATCGGCTAGCCCTGGCGAGAGTGAGACATCGCCGGGCGATTCACCTCCCAACTCGGCTCTCATGTACAAGTTGATGTTCTCCCGAAGAGCTTCAGATTCTGACTGGGGTCAGGAAATCCTCAGTCTGATCGAAAGGGATGACTCCAGCGCCAACACTCTCTGATGAGAGCAATAGTGGACGCTGAGTAGGAGCGGACTGGAGGAAAAGGGAAGGGCAACACTTCTACTATCTAATTTGCTGTAGTTGATGACTCAATCATTCCGCAACATTTAATAATCAGCCAGTCTATATGCTCAAACTCCGGACGACCACATTCTCACATGCTCACCGTGATTGTTTACATGAATTTCAGGGGCATCCCTATTCGACCCCTGCACCGTTAAGGTTAGGGGGAGTCAGTGGGCAATCGACGTCACTAAAAGCGGGATGAACCGCTCCACTGGATCGCCGTAGCAGCCCGCGCCGAGCCCCTAAAATCCGGGGTGGGCGAGATCTGCCCCGCGTTCGAGGTCCAGTTTCAATCCGAAGTCAAGTCACGAAAAATGCGACAACTTTCTTCCCTTTCCCTCCCTTAAGTCCTTCCCTCGTCAACAACTCATTACACCCACCACACAACCCAACCAAACTCAACCCTTTTCAACAACCCTCCAATTGTACAGCCAATATGGACATCGACGACATCCTCCGCGAAGTCGACCCCATCTCGCACCAGATCCCGCAAGAAACGCGCGACCTGCAAGACCTGACGCGCGCCTGGGTGGCCGAGCGGTCCACGCCCGAACTTCTCCCCTGGCCGTCCAACGGCCTCTTCGAGCGCATCAACGACAAGATCAAGCGGCAGATTGAGCGAGTCGAGGAGATGACGGGCGACATGGATCCCAAAACCAACTTTGCGCTGATTGTCATCCAGACGGAGCTGGAGAGGTATAAATATTTGGTGAGGTCGTTTTTGAGGAGTCGGATTGCGAAGGTGCGTTCACCACCTATCCCTCCCCATCGAGGGTCGAAGGTTGAAGAAAGGAATGGGAGACACTGATAATCGAGGAATGGACAGATCGACAAGCATTTACTACATTATATATCCAACGACACCCTCCGAACACGCATGTCGCAAATCGAAGAAGCGTACGCGCGCCGACATCAATTGCTGCTGCATAACCACTACCTCAACTCCTTTTTGGGGACGTTCCCTCCGGCGATGCAGAACCTGAACGATACGGCGGGGAATATCAGCATGATTGATAATCCGGACCTTGACTCGGCCGTGTTTATTCGCTTGTTGAAGGACGCGGAGATTGAGTGTCATGGTGTCGACGTCGATGGCGTGCTTACGGGTAAAGAGGGGGATATTGTTATACTGAGATGGTCAGATGCGAAGGCGTTGGTGGAGAAGGGGGATGCTGAGTTGGTTTGAGGTTGCTGACTTGGTGGAATAAGTTGTCTACAAACATTGAGGGTTGTTGGTCGATCACGGAGTTTAGGTGTTGGCGGAGGCTTATCTCCAGGAGAACACTCAACACCACCAAAACAGATGATCGACGATCGGAAGTATGGGCGAAATGCAGGGTACTTTGCTTAATCCCGTTAAGGTTTCGGCGATCACCATACATCCGTCCCATCGGTGTCCGCGGGGCGAATATTGGGACTGGGTTGGCAGCTCTGGAACGGTTCACGAGATGTCCGCGGATACGTCGCCATGACGTGTGGCATGGTATAAGAGCTCACGATGTTCGGACGAAGAGAACCAGAGGCGACGGCAAAACAGCAAAAGCCGAGGACACTTCGTTAAGATCGAACGATCTCTTCGCCTATCCTTCAACAATCGAACAATTCCCAGCCAGTGCATGCCAAAACCTCCCATCATGGCAACCGCCGCCCCCGACTCCAAAGCCATCGTCCTCATCACCGGCGCCAACCGGGGCATCGGCTTCGAAATCGCTAAAAAACTCGCTACCTCCCCCGACAAACCCTACCATATCATCCTCTCCAGCCGGCACCACTCCTCGGTCGAGTCCGCCATCACCACCCTACGCGCCCTCCCCAACCTCCACAGCTCCACCACCCTCGAACCTCTCCCTCTCGACCTAACCTCCGACACCTCCATCTCCTCCGCCGCCGCCCACATCTCCACCAAACACAACCACCTCGACATCCTAGTCCACAACGCCGCCATCTCCTTTTCCTCCCTGTCCACACACGTCACAGACCCACACGCGCCGCAGCGGGAACGAGAGAACTGGCATGCAATCTTCGACACGAACCTGATCGGTCCCGCTCTCCTAACCGACGCACTTCTCCCTCTACTATCCGCCTCTCCGCAACCAGAGCGCAAAATTGTCTTTGTTAGTTCCAAGCTGGGGTCGATCGCGTACACTTTCGACGAAGTCAATAGTCGTCACATCGACTTAAATGATGCTACGAGGTTTACCGAGTATAGTGCGAGTAAGGCGGCACTGAATCTGTATGCGAAGCATTTGGCTTGGAGGTTGGAACATTCACATGGGGAGGGAGGAGGCTCGGGGAGGGGAAAGAGTGAGGGGGAGGGAGGAGACAAAAAGGGAGGAGAGGAGAAAAAGGGCAAGTGGAAAGTCAATGTGGTTTGTCCGGGGTATACGAAGACGGGGTTGAATAATTACCAGGGAACGCAGGAGCCGAGTGAGGCGGCGAAGATTGTAGTGAGACTTGTGCAGGAGGAAGGAGGAGAGACGGGGACATTTAGGGATAAGGACGGGATTGTGCCTTGGTGATACTCACACTCACATTAGTGTAAAGCTATGGTGGTGATCGTGGTGTGAGGAAGGCCGTAAGGCTATGTGTGGGAGATGTGAGGGATAGAGTTAGGCAAAGGACTTTTGAACATGAAGAGGTGCACAAGTAAAGCTATTCACAGAATTGCCGTTCCTGATAGAACCTGATCAGCACAGGTACCTTTAGGTATTGTCAGAACCAACTCGAAGAGGTTGCAACCTGCCCACCAGGCTCCGCGATGAAGGAAGATGGAAGTGGCCACCGGTAGTAGATGGAAGGCGCCCCCCATCAGGAGGACATTACCAAGAGGAAGGAGGCATCGCCAGAAGTTGGCTGACTGATGGAGGGTTGGGTTGGCCACAAAAGAAAATGAGGATAGCACAGGCCCTCCCTGCTAAAATGTCAGTACGGTCTTCGTCTCAAAACCGATCACTTGGCAATTCTTTGGCATCTGTGATGGTGACGTGTGAGCAACTTCCACCTACAAGGACATCTTCGTCGAGCTCCCCGTCAACTTCCAGGACTCCAAATCCCTTTACCCCTTCCCTCACCAAATACCCGCTTTCCACAAGAGCTCCGAGGTTCCATGCCTGCCTCTTTCGACGAGACCGGCCGCGATCCCGTCAAGATGCCCACCTACTCCGGCTACACATCTTGTGTTACCACCCGGTCTCTTTCATCCCATCCGGTTCCTGTCATCGCATATACAAACCCTTTCCCACCATGCGCGCGCCTCTTATTCTCAGCCCTTCTTCATCTTCATCACTCCAAGATCGCATCTCTTCCATCCGTTTTAGTGCGTCAGCCTTCAATTACGTGCTGTGCCAGCTGCCTCCAACCTTTCTTTTTTTTGCATGTGTCCCAAGTTCTTCTACATAAAGACACCTTAATCCAAGGGCACGCCAATGATCCAAGTGGAGATTCTGATAACCTTGTCGCCGTTGCCGTTGATCTGGTAACAAGCTTCCTTGGACCATTAGTGACCCGAAAGGTCCAGACGACAGCTCGTGACCTCGTATTGACTATTGAGCGCATCGGCCATCAAGACCCTTCGTGCATTTTTTTATTTTTTTTTCAAGTTCTAAGCCTCAGGTTCTGAGCCACAAGTGTGGAAATAAAAAAACGCCTGGATGCGCGTGTCCCAGCATGAGAGCCAGTGGTCATCAGACGAACGGTTGTGCGTATCATTCGTTGGCTGGGAAGTCCCTCGTATAAGTCGGCTAGACGGCCTTATTTCCGGCACGGCACGGCACGGCAGTACAGACCCCAGAGCACAAGCAGACTCGGGCTCGGAGGACTCGTTTCGGTCGTTTCATGGCGATTTCTCTGAATTATGTACAAGCGTGGGACAAAGAATAAGCTTTGAACACCACCTCCATGATTTGCCTTGCGCAACCCAGCGCAGCGCAAATGTCACGGTCCTGAGCCAGTCAAGAAGCGCTCGCGATGTCTATGTAGGTGTTGCATAGCGAAGCGTGCCCGCGCTTTCGGGTCAACAAGAGTTCACGGACAGTATCTGTCTCATTTCCTTGCGAACGCTTGCCTTTGAGTTTCCCTCCCTCGACGAACGAATTGAAGCTTTCTTTGGTGTTGTTGGAGGCCGTTCGGTGTCAAGCTCCGGCCAAGCAAGCCAAGGCCGAGAATCACTTCAAAACGTCTGATGGCTGCGTTTGCTAGCTCCGCGCAAGTGCTGATCACCACCCAACCGCCCGTAATTAGGGCTAGGGAGGAGAAGAGGCTTTTTTTTGTCGCCAGCCAGTTCCCTTTTGTGTCACATTGATGGATTGCGCTTGGCAAGTTGTCGAAGCGGTTCGGTTCGGGTGGCTTGGACGGATTTGCAGGCGTGCAGGTCGTTGCGCGTCTGCAATTCTGCGTCGGTGCATCGTCCGTTTGGACATTCCCGGTCTGTCAAGTCTGCCTATGCTTTGCATCGTCAGTCTGTTTTCCAGATTGGATGAACTGAACCTCAGCAAAGGTCAACATCGTGAGCGTCTCAAATTCCAACCTGTTCTCTAAAAACAGCAATGGAAACGAGACGGAGCGAGCACCGAGCTGAGGGCGCCTGTGGCCCAGCGTCAAACACGAATTACACTAAAAATCCAAAACCCAATGCCGCCTCTGATTGGTCACTGCTTGAATGGGATACCGAATCGGGCAAAATAGCACCACACCCACTTTTTGTCCATCGTTTCCCTTCCCTTCTCCCTCTTCCTCGTCTCGGCGCTGGCGTCTGCGAGTCCGCCACGGGGAGGACACCACCCACCACTACCACACTGACACACCCGCAATCTGGTCAAAGGATAATGGTGGGTGGCAGCCAAGCAGTAATCTTAATTTCACAACACCTAAACATCACCAAGCCAGGGGAACCACGGGAAGTGAAGTGTGCATAAACTTTTGACCAAGATTCTATCCCTGTGTCCCGCGATAATGGGGATATGGTATAATGGCTCGGTAAACGTAAAGACATCTGTGCCCGTGACGAACAATAATGGGATCTTCATGGGAAGGGATAGATTTGACCCAGGCAGAAAACATCAGACAATCTCTCTGTCTGTCCCTTTCGCGGGGTCACACAACGCTTGACCGGGCTGGGCCTTTGAGAACTCGTCTCGCGAGTCGAATGCCGACACTTTCAGGTTGTCAGTCAACACATAACAACACAACACGACATTCCGTCCAGCGCAGCAGAGAGTGTCCAACAACGCAACACAGCAGGTCATATTTTACTCGATCAGAGGATAACTCAAGCAATAGTATTCCACGAGACACCTTCAACTCACCCACTTTTGAGGCGCATCGCTCTGCCTGCATCGTGGATCATTTTTCTGGTGGTGTCTGTCCATCTCCACCATTCAAGCCGCTCAGACCGGGTACCCCTGTCCCTGCCTTCGTGTCTGTGGATATTTGTGGGGGAGATACGCGATGTCCAAGACCAGTCCAAGACCCCGGCTCGGGTGTTTGGAGAAGTCAGTGGCACACAGGAGCCAAACACTTTGCAACGACAGGCAGTCAGGCATCGTGACCTGCTTTCCCCCATGTTCCATCCCTAGCACAGCTGCTGCCTTTGCTATGCAACGGAAGTCGACCGAATCGAGCTGCTTGAGGCGCAGGCAGGGATGTCTAGCTGTTTCTCTTGACGGTAGGTCACGGTAGGTTCTGGTTGCTACGGCGCGATGGAGAAGAGGGAGGAAAAGGTAACACTGGAGGATGGAGAAAGGAAAGTGGTGGCTTGCATGTGTCTGTCCGTCCATGTCGTATGAGCTTTTCCCTTCCAAGTGAAAGAGTATTTAACATAACACAACCTCTCCCTCTCCCCTCGTCTGCTTCCCTTTTCCTCTCTCTTCCTTTCTTCAGAACTTTTTACCTCGTCTCGTCCCAGATCATCATACCGACACTCGCTCTCACACTCGCTTGTTGAGATTACCGGTTACACACACACGACACGTTACGATATAGACATCGGAATACCTTCTCTTAATATCTAATACCAACCAACCGACAACAAACAAAAAAACCGAAAATGCGTTTCGCTCCTCTCATCCTCACCGGCCTCTTCGCCCTTACCGCGAACGCCCAGTCCACCACCTCTTCTGCTTCGGCTCCTCAGAACTCTGAACAGGCCGCCATCATCAAGTGCCTAGAGGCTTGCCAGGAGGGCGACGTTGCTTGCACGAGCAAGTGCATTGCTGTTCCTAATCCTTCCGAGGACGATGTACGTTAGCTAACCCCCCCTCTCTCACACTCAGCCTTCTTCACCATTCTCTATACACGCTCTCTACGTCCACCCCCGCTTATGTTCACCTATTTAACCTCCAATTTCACCAATCACTTCCCACCAACTTCCTTTCCCACCTTCTCCCCCACCCACTACCAGAAAACACATAACTGACAAACGAACGAAAAAAAGGTCAATGAGACAAACGACTGCGTAGCAGACTGCCCTAAGGGTGACGGCACCGAATCCGGCAACGCCAACTACCAAAAGTGCCTGCAAGACTGCATCGACAAGCATTACTTCACTGCCACCACGGGTGGCGCGGCTGTTGCCAACCCTACCTCGCCCGCTATCACCACCACGAGCGTTACCAGGACTAATGTCGTTGTTGTGAGCACGGTCACCAGTGGCAGCTTTACTACGACCGTTACGAGCACTAGTACACCGTCTGCTGAGCCTAGCTCTGATGGTGATGATGATGATAGCAAGGGTACTAGTACGTCGACTGTTGAGAGCACGAGTAGTGTTGGTTCCGCGGGTAGGGTGGCTGTTGGGTCATTGGGAGGTTTCTTGTTGGGGTTGGCGGCGATGCTCTAGGGGGTTGAAGAGTTATGAAGAGTTGGGGTGGGTGGGATGATGCCTTTGGAGTTGGATGTATGATGTGATGGCTTGGATATGATGGGATGAGCGTATGGGTATTGTCATGGGTATGATTAATGGCTTGGATGGCTTGGATGACGGACTTAATGGTGTTTTGCGCTGCGGCGGTTGGGTCTGTGTCTGTGTTTGATACCTTTTGGAAACTGAAAAGTTGGAGAAAGTATAGTGACGAGCGATATGGTAGTAATGACCAGCGGGTTTGAATCACTTCGTGGACACACGTATGAACTGAACTGAACTGAACATGGATATGTATGGTTTTGATTGAGTGTTTTTGCTGATGTTTGGTATCTGGTATCACTATGTTGTCGTTGTTGTTATTGTTGTCGTTTACTTCCTGGTAGGAATGGTAGGCTCGATGTCGGTAATCCAGGGAAGACCGAGCTGCTTCATCTCGACGGCGAGTTGGAAGAGGTAATCCAAGCTGTACACAGGTAAATGTTAGCCCACGTTCAAGTTCAACAGCGCCACCACTGCCATCGATACGAACCACCACCACCACCACCACCAGAAAAAACACGAAACAAACATACCTCTCGCACATAGTCTTCGCCTTATGCACATTCTCCCCCCACACATAAACGCCATGTCTCCGCACCAGCACCGCATACGTATCCGGGTACTTATCCATCGCCTCCTCCAAAAACTCCGTCAAGTCCTCCTCATGCGCCGTATTCTCGATCACAGGAATCCTCAACGTATCATGATATCCCAAGTTCCCACTCTTCCCGAACCCGCGACCGAATCCCTTGATTTGCTCAATGTTGTTGATCTCAAACACTTTTCCCTTTTCTTCATCCCCTTCCTTACTGCTACGCTCGCGCTCGAGAAGGAGAGTGACGAGAACAGCCCAGTGCGAGTGCGTGTGGATGCAACAACCTGCGTTGCGTTTCGTGAAGGCGGCGAGGAAGAGGGGTGTGCATTGCGAGGGTTTGTAGTTCGCCGGAGACCTCAGGTACACGCGCTGTTTAGGGTTGGGAGAGGTGGCTTGGGCAGCGAGGGACAGGACGTAAATGTCTTCGGGTTTCATGAGTTCTTTTTGGACGCCGGACGGCGCAAGGTAGACGAGGTCATTGTCGCGGATCGAGGCGCCGCCGCCTGTGCCGGTTACCCAACCTAATGTCCAGAATTTGGCGCAGAGAGCGGGGATAAGGTTCGCGGGGTGGGAGGAGTCTGAGGAGAGGACTAGGTGGTCGTTGTTGTCCGTGTTGTTGTTTTCTGACGAGGCAGAGGCGGCGGAGGGGGGGCAGGTGGGACACATTTTGGCGATGGGTCGGGCTCCGGTGAAGGGGAGGTTTCGGGAGAGGTCGAGATTTACCGGACGGCGGACGGCGGAGGACGGAATCGCGGCGCGGGTTTCGGGCACGGCGCGGAGAGAGGAGGGGTCGATTTCGCGATTTCGATCGATAGCGGCGGCCCGTTGACGTGCGCGGCGCGGAGCGATTTTGAATGCCAAGAAAATAAAAAATGTGGTCCCGCTCCAGCCAGACTTGTCACTGACCGGGATCCGGGAAGAATGGCGCCATTTCGGAAGCTCCTGCCGTGCGGATCCTACACTACTTCTTCATATCATCGACACGCCCGCGTAAATCTTGAAGTTTCGATATTCAGGACTGGCGAGATGAGGCTAAATAGGATATGAAGAGGGAAAGAGCCACGTTGTTCAAAGTTTGGTTGAGCGACGAACTGGAAAAGCGGAAGGTGAAGAGCTAGTGTAATGGTTTGGGTGCTTCAGCCGGCTCTTTGGGGCACTTCAAGGCCCTACAGTACCCGCTGACTTACATCTGTGGATCTTGAAGAGAGTTCGCTTGCCCGATCCAGAGTCCATCAAGGTTCCAACTCCGGGTCAAGATAGCATCGTGTCAATGATCTTTGTACTTAAGACCTTGATATCCCAATGAGCTCGTCTTTCCATACTCGGAAGCTGCAAAGCTCCGTTGCCAGAATGGGGTATTTGGACCGGGTCCATCAGATGAAGATGGAGATCTCGGAACAATAACACTTGACCTTCTCCAAGACACGGTGGTGAACAAGCAACCAGGGCAGAAAAAAAGACGGAGCCAGTCTTTGATTGTATCTTTCACCGCACAAACACCCACATACCCACAGGAGACGAACTTGGTTGTCTTCTCATAGAGACAAACATTCCCTTCACTGGCGAGACAGGACCCTTGAAGTGTTCACCCTGCCGTGCATGGCCATGTTCGTGGTCGAAAGAGATGGCCCCACTTAATATACACGCGCTAGAACCACTGGCTCCAACGCAATTGACCAACAGGACGCTACGGGGAAAAGAGCCACTCAGCAATCAGTATGGAAGCCACGGTGAAGACATTCCGAAGATGGAGAGTCAGAAGAATGTATTCCCAAAGAATCTCAAGAAGTCAATGCCAACACCAACAACAACAGTCTCAAGGGAGCAGCTGAGATAAAAACCCACCGGTTGTTGTGCCACATGCACGTTGGCTCCTTTGTAGCGAAAAGGGATGACAATGGCCTCGAGTAACAAGCCCCCTTACAAGACGGGTAGAACAATTGTTAGTTCAATGCTGGCCAATCAATAGAGAGACCCCTTGTCTTCTGTCCAATCCCGTCCATGGAAGTTTCGAAGCATTTCCACAAGTCCCGGCCGACTGGACTCTGAGACGACGCTGAGAGGCCAGTTTGCCATAGCCTCCAGCCAGCCTATGCCCCAAACCTGAGGTGCCCCCGCAAATAATGCTGAGGTGGTCTCCGCAGGTCCCGCCCGCTACCTACCGCGCCAAAGCTCCCCAGCAGCTGCCATCTCACGTCTCAGGCGGGTTAAAGACACGTTGTCACTTGGAGGAAGGTTGAACCTGAACCCAAACTTTTAACTCACCACCAGCACCCATTCCCCCCATCACCGGCTGCTTTTTCTCCTCTTTTTTTTCTCTTTGTGCCGTGGGAGTGAATATCCATTGCCCAACAAGGTTCTTGTCTCTCTGTCTGTCTCGAACTCGAACTCGAACTCGAACTCGACTTCGACATTCTTTCTTTCAGCAACAACCAACCCCTCCATTCTACACACCACATACGCGATTGCGAATTCAGCTTGAGATATTAGCAACTTCGCCTTCATCATGAGGTTCAACGTAGCTGCCGCTGCCGCCAGCGCCGCCCTCCTCGCCGGAGGTGTCAGCGCCGACGATGCTCAGAAGGTGCTCAAGGACGAGAGCTCCAGCACCGTCGCCGAGGCCGCCACCTCGGTCTCCCCCGTCAAGCTCCCTACCTTCACTGTAAGTAGTCGTCGTCAATGCAGTCCATCGCCACAAACAGCATCTAATCAATGCATCCGAATAGCCTACCAAGCTCAAGGCTCCCTTCCTCGAGCAGTTTACCGACGACTGGGACTCGCGCTGGAAGCCTTCCCACGCCAAGAAGGAGACCGGCCCCGATACCGAGGAGGAGTGGGCTTACGTCGGCGAGTGGTCCGTCGAGGAGCCCGTCGTCTACAAGGGCATGGAGGGCGACAAGGGTCTCGTCGTCAAGAACGCGGCCGCCCACCACGCCATCTCGGCCAAGTTCCCCAAGAAGATCGACCCCAAGGGCAAGGATCTCGTTGTCCAGTATGAGGTCAAGCTTCAGAGTATGTCATTCCCACTACTCAGTCCTACTACAGCCAATTGCTAACAGACACCTCCAGATGGCCTCGAGTGCGGTGGTGCTTACCTGAAGCTCCTCCGTGAGAACAAGGCTCTCCACCAGGATGAGTTCTCCAACACCACCCCCTACGTCATCATGTTCGGTCCCGACAAGTGCGGCCACACCAACAAGGTGCACTTCATCTTCAACCACAAGAACCCCAAGACGGGCGAGTATGAGGAGAAGCACCTCAGCTCTCCTCCGGCGGCCAAGATCGTCAAGACCACCGAGCTCTACACGCTCATTGTCCACCCCAACAACACCTACCTCATCCAGCAGGATGGTGAGACCGTCAAGGAGGGCAGCCTCCTCGAGGACTTTGTCCCCTCGGTCAACCCCGAGGCCGAGATTGACGACCCCAACGACACCAAGCCCGAGGACTGGGTTGACCAGGACCGCATCCCCGACCCCGATGCCAAGAAGCCCGAGGACTGGGATGAGGATGCCCCGTACGAGATTGTCGATGAGGAGGCTACCATCCCCGAGGACTGGCTAGTCGATGAGCCCCAGACCATCCCCGACCCTGAGGCCCAGAAGCCCGAGGACTGGGATGACGAGGAGGATGGTGACTGGATCGCCCCTACCATTCCCAACCCCAAGTGCTTCGAGGTTTCTGGTTGCGGCCCCTGGACTAAGCCCATGAAGAAGAACCCCGAGTACAAGGGCATCTGGAGCGCTCCTCTCATTGAGAACCCCGCCTACAAGGGACCCTGGGCTCCTCGCAAGATCCCCAACCCCGACTACTTTGAGGACAAGACCCCCGCCAGCTTTGAGCCCATGGGTGCTATTGGCTTCGAGATCTGGACCATGCAGAACAACATTCTCTTCGACAACATCTACATTGGTCACTCCGTTGAGGACGCCAAGGCTCTTGCTGACGAGACCTTCTTCAAGAAGCACCCCGTCGAGGAGAAGCTCGAGGAGGCTGAGAAGCCCAAGGTTGAGGAGAACAAGCCCGCTTCCCCCAACGACCTCAAGTTCACCGAGGACCCTGTCACCTACATCAAGGAGAAGGTTGACCTCTTCATGACCATTGCCAAGACGGACCCCGTTGAGGCTATCAAGTTCGTTCCTGAGGTTGCCGGTGGCGCTGCCGCCCTCCTCGTTACCTTCATTGCCATTCTCGCTTCTCTCGTCTCTGGCGGCAGCGCTCCTGCTCCCGTTAAGAAGGTTGCTAAGGATGTCAAGGAGAAGGCCGAGGACGTCAAGGACAAGGCTGCCGAGGCTGTCGCCACTGGTGCCGAGAAGGCCAACCAGGCTACCAAGCGCAACACCCGCAGCCAGTCGTAAGATGACAGACTGGTGGAGTGAGGCAGTTGGAGAGAGAGGTGGGACTATCTATCTATTAACGGGTAATAAAAGGAGTTTGAGATAGTTGGAAGAGGAAGAGAAAGAGAAGAAACAAAGTACAGGATCACCTAAATCTAGTTGGGTGTTTTCGTTTTGACGTGACATGAAATTCATATTCTTTAAGCTCTGACGCGATACCGGGCCTGGGTATAGTTGGCCTTTCAAAAGGTTCTTTGTGGTTTGAGTTCATTACCAGTTTTTCGAAGTGCTCGATTCGATATTTTCGGAGTATCAAAGGGGGCGCGCACTGTCTGTATTCTATCTATCTAGGCTCTTATCACCATACTCTTTTCGCATTATCTGAAGCAGTTAAGAAGTGTGGAGTGTTGAAGGTGATGGCGTTATCTTGGCTGTTATTGACGACGGAGTCCCTTTGATAGCGTCCAGGTATGTAGCTCGGAGCTTTGATCTGGCAGCCGGGTGTGCATTTCCTTCAACAGGCTCAACTGGGCTGAAAAAAGGCTGGGATGTGCCTGATGAGGGGGTCCGCTATGAAGACACAGTGGGGAAGACTGATCGCCGTTCGCCAGGACAGGCTCGACAGGGAGAGAGGCGGGGGAGGTCATTGGTTGGTCGGCAGGCGGCGGCTTATTCACTGCAAGAAAGAAGCATCTCCACCTCTCCGCACTCCCCCGCACGACGGCATGTTTGCGCTAGGACGACAGTGGCAGTTTGTATCATTGTCCCTGCCTTGTACGTAACAGAGCGACACCAATGGCCATGATAAACCGAGATTGATGGTCAAGTCAAGCCGGGAATGAAAGTTCGCCTCGGGCTAACGGTTGGTTTGGAAGAGGGAAAGCGGTATTGGTCTGTGTCTGATAAAAGGGACATGATGGCCACAGGCAGTCTCGGGGTTTCCTATCTCTTTGCTGTCCAGTCGTTAATTGATTCCAACCAGTCAGCAGACACCACGGGTAATAGGAATTAGGTCAAGGTAATACCTTCTTACTGACGGGTCTGAAAAGAGACCGCCGTCGTGCCGTGGTTGCATTTTCTTCTTTTCTTCCTCCCTTGACTTCTTCCTGTCCTCAAGGACACTCCTTCAACAATGCAGCGCCTCACTTCTCGAGGTCTTCTCTCAGCGTCTGCCTCTGCCGCTGGTCGTCGCCTCGCCTCCACCAGTTCACGCAGGGCAGTATCACCACTTCTGCTCTCCTCCAAGATGTCGTCCCCCGTCAAGATTGCTTCCGCCACCGCGGCCCGAAGGATACATGCCACCGCCAACCACCTCCGTCCCGCCGCTGCTGCTGCTGCTGCCCTAGAGACCACGGCGACCAGCTATCCTACCACCCACGACAAGATCGCCGACGTCAAGGACACTCCTTGGTTCATCAACAACCAGTTCGTCGCCTCCTCCGCCACCCAGTACATCGACCTCCACGATCCTGCCACCAACAACCTCGTCACCCGCGTGCCCCAGAACACCGATGAGGAGCTCAAGGCCGCCGTCGACTCGGCCCAGAAGGCTTTCGAGTCCTGGAAGAACACCACCGTCCTCCACCGCCAGGCCATCATGTTCAAGTTCGTCGCCCTCATCCGCGAGAACTGGGACCGTCTCGCGGCGAGCATCACCCTCGAGCAAGGCAAGACCTTTGCCGACGCCAAGGGCGATGTCCTCCGTGGTCTCCAGGTCGCCGAAGCCGCCTGCGGTGCTCCCGAGCTTCTCAAGGGCGAGGTCCTCGAAGTAGCCAAGGACATGGAAACCCGCACCTACCGGGAACCCCTGGGTGTCGTGGCCGCCATCTGCCCCTTCAACTTCCCCGCCATGATCCCGCTGTGGTGCATCCCCATCGCCACCGTCACCGGCAACACCCTGATCCTCAAGCCCTCCGAGCGCGACCCGGGCGCGGCCATGATCCTCGCCGAACTGGTCCAGAAGGCCGGTTTCCCCGAGGGCGTCGTCAACATCGTCCACGGCGCCCACCGCACCGTCAACTTCATCCTCGACGAGCCCGCCATCAAGGCCGTCTCCTTTGTGGGAGGCAACAAAGCAGGCGAGTACATCTTCTCGCGCGGCTCCGCCAACGGTAAGCGCGTGCAGGCCAACTTGGGAGCCAAGAACCACGCCGCCGTGCTCCCGGATTGCAACAAGAACCAGTTCCTCAACGCGGTAGTAGGCGCCGCCTTTGGCGCCGCCGGCCAGCGCTGCATGGCTTTGTCGACCCTCGTCATGGTGGGCGAAACCAAGGACTGGCTTCCTGAACTCGCCGAGCGCGCCAAGGCTCTCAACGTCAACGGCGGCTTCGAAGAAGGCGCCGACCTCGGTCCCGTCATCAGCCCGCAAAGTAAGGAGAGGATCGAGTCCCTCATCGCCTCCGCCGAGTCCGAAGGCGCTACCATTTTGTTGGATGGCAGGGGCTACAAGCCATCCAAGTACCCCAACGGCAACTGGATCGCACCAACTATAATCTCCAACGTCACCCCGAACATGAAGTGCTACACGGAAGAAATCTTCGGTCCCGTGCTGGTCTGCTTGAACGTGGAAACGCTAGACGACGCCATCGACCTGATCAACAGCAACGAGTATGGCAACGGCGTGGCGATCTTTACCCGCAGTGGTCCGACGGCCGAGACTTTCCGCAAGAGAATCGAGGCCGGTCAGGTCGGCATTAATGTGCCTATCCCTGTGCCTCTTCCCATGTTTAGCTTCACGGGCAATAAGAAGAGCATTGCGGGCGGAGGTGCGAGCACGTTTTATGGAAAGCCGGGAGTTAATTTTTATACGCAGCTCAAGACGGTTACGGCGCACTGGGCGGCTAATGATGCGATTGAGCGGAAGGCGGATGTTGCTATGCCTACCCATTCTTAGGTTTGCTGAGGCAATGGGGGAGGTGCAGGATGTGTTGTATATCTAGCTTATGGTTGATGAGATTAGTTGGTGAATAGCAAGCAAGCCGTTTTGGATTCGTACGTTTATGTCAAGTTATATGTTAGTGAAGTATAATTTGTATCTAGATCTGAGAATGCCACAACTAGGCGATTCATCAAGTCCCTCCAACGTAGACTGCCATGGATGACGAGCAAAATCACCCCGGCACTCCTCACTTCCACTTCCATGTCCATGCAGCAATGCTACCGATGGCCTACACCTTAACAAAAAAAGCATATGGAACGGGGTATGTGAGTACCTTGGCTACGCAACCAGGACCTCACAAATCCAGTCATCTGTCATCTTTCAAAATTTATGGTAGATTATCATAGTACTTAAGTAAATGCTTCGAAAATACAAGGTAGAGATTACCACCCTCCAGCCTGCACATGTCAACTAGTTATCTAGTTATACTTGTGTCATGATACCATTGTGCGGCGAAATCTGGGTAATCAGGAATAGATGACGAGGTTCTAGCTGGTGTTTCTCACTTCTCACTTCTCACTTCTCAATTCACACTTGTGTCGTTGAGATGAAAAGGTGAGACAAAAAGACACAAGGATCATAAGGTAAAAAGACAATGAATCAAGAAACCACTGTCTATGTGGACGTTGGAGGGACTATGGGAGAGACACTTCACTATTAGACTTGCAGCGTTCACTGTTTCGCTGCAGCTACCTGAATGTACCTAGAGGTAGAGAGAGGTAAGATTAGTTAATTTTGAGTCTTGAGTCTTGAAGCTTGACAAGGTAGGTAGGTAACTGATAAATATGTCCTAACTGTTGAACGTCACGAAGGCCTTTTTGTTGGCTTGTGGGATTGCAATGGTGTGTGGGCTTGGATAGGGTTGACATGTTTCACATGTTTGACATAGGTATCTAATCTGACCTGATCTGATCTTATTTAAAGCATGCAAGTCAAAGAATTATGGGTATGTATGACGCTTGGCTGTTGAGAATGGATGGCATATGTCGGTTTACCTACATTCGGACTTCACGGACATTTGGGATAGCAGTTATAGGCAGGTAGAACATTTTGTGAATTTACTGACAGTGAAGGTGACTTCGGTGTTTCGCACCTGCTGACTTTCATCTGACCTTGGGGAGACTTATATACTGGATGTTTCTCCAGGCTCAGTTAGTACCTTGTCGAAAGACATCTTGGACAAGATAAGATTTTCTCCATACCCTTAATGCGATGCTCATTTTGACTGATGATGTTGACGATGATGTCGATGATCATGTTGATGATAATAAAGGGCCGAGAAGCCTTACCTAAAGAGTGATAATGTTGTTGGTACTTGCTTGATTGGAATCAAATCTGAGGAGACAATGATCAATGATTGATTGCCTTACTGTTGAGAAGACAGTCCAACGCGGGATTACTCGTTTTTGACGATCATCAAATGTATCCCCCTTCTATTGCGAGTTCAGTTTGCACCTAGATAGAACAAAGTAGATAACGAGTGTTTAATGCAAGAACCAGAACAAGATCAACTACAAATGACTGCGTTAGTGTTGAAAAACATCTAGAAACGAATAGTGTGTAGTTCATGTCCGTATTCTGTCGTGTGTCCTCTATCTCGCTGGCATCAACCTCATGTACTGTGGTGGTCCTAGTCCTACGCCAAAAGAAAGATGTCATTCACAGACCGGTGTCATGAGTGAAAGGTGGCTAAAAAATCGGGCATCAAGGAAAGAAACCACGAAGATTGAAGCAATGCGGATCTTACCATGGATATCCAACATGTTCTGATATACGATTGATCCAACGAACGCCCTCTCTGCATCATCAAACCATTTCATGAAACATTATCCCATCAATATCAACAGTCAACATCCATACCCAACTGACAATCAGAGGAAAGAAAAAACCAAATCCTCGAACATGACCTAACCCATATGCTTAAACACCCGGCTTCGAAAACCCATCACTATTAGGCCAATTCCCCAGTCCCGCCGGATCCCCTCCAATCCTCACATACACGCCCACAGCCGGCACCCCTCCATCCAGCACAAAGAACTGATACCACCCGGGCGGTGCGATATGTGCATTAGGCGGTGCGTCCACCGTGCAACTGGTGCCCTGGCATTGCACGTTCGGCATGAGTGTCCTGGCACCCATCGAGTTGCCGTGGGTGCTTGATACCGAACCCAGAAGCGTAACCGTAATGGCGCCGTTCTTAGCGGCCGACCCGAGGTTGAAGGGGATGTTCTTCTGGTCCCAGTCCCAGTCGCGGTTTTGAAGGGTGAAGCTGGGGCGAGGCTTGCCGTTGAGGAGATAGGGAGGTACGAACACTTCCACGCGGTACTCCTCTGGGTTGACGTTATCCTGGGGATCGGAGCCGGAGATCAAGACGCGCCCGTCGAGAAGAGTGATGGCTTCGGAGTGGTACATGCGCGCGATGGTGGTGTTGGCCATTACCGTAATGCGGGAGCCAACGGGCTTGGTAGGATCGTAGAGCAGAGCGTTCTTGTTCGGGTTGTTAGCCAGTCCGAAGCCTGCAAAACCGTGGTGGGCGCCGTTGGCGATCAGGTAAGTCCCGTCGGGAAGAGGAGCCATGCAGGGCATCACGCGGAAGGAGGGCATACGCTCGATGACCCATTTCGGGTTGGCGTCGTCGGGGCGCGTGGATACGCAGTTGTCGAGGGCGTAACCGGGGCCGTTGTTGGAACCGCCGCATATGAGAATGCCGAGGTTTTCGGAGTAGGGGTAGCGCTGCGGGAGAAGGACGGCGGCGCCTTCGAGGGGGTAGGTACGTCCGGATTGAGGGTCGTTGACGGCGCCGGGGACCATGGGCAACTCCTTGATAGTCGCGAAGGTCCTCTCGTCGAGGATTCTGGCTTCGTTCCAGTACTGGACGAAGATGCCACCGCTTGGTAGCACGGCGACGAAGGGGTAGAGGTTGTTGGGATCGGTGCGTTCAAGCCAGTCCATGAAGAGTGGTTTGGTCCCGGTATAAGGCAAGACCTCGATGGAAGGGACGGCGGCAGCGTTCGAGCCGGTCTCACCTCCGATGACAAAGATGGAGCCGTTGGCCATGACCATAGCGCTGGGATACCAGCGGCCGGCTTGCAAGCTCAGCTCGTTGACGTTTTCCTCCCAGTCGTGACCAGGCCAGTACAGACGAGTGCCGTAGGTAGAGTCCCCAGACCAACCTCCAACGGTCAGCTGGCGGCCCACCTTGTCTGGCAAGGTCACACCGCCGGCGCAGAAGACATCAGTCTTGAGATGAAGCTCACGGAAGGCAGCGTTGGTACCGATCTTGGAAAGATCAAGCTCGTATGCACCTGTTTCGTTGGCAGGACCGGTTCCCCATTTGGAAAGGAAGTTGACCTTGCCTTCGACGGTCTCAGATGCCATCAGGGGACGGTGACGCCGTTAATAAGTAGCTCATATCTGCCCGCCCGGTAATCCTGGGGAAAGTCCCACGAGTAAAAGGGTGTTCCGGTCCAGAAGTAGGTTGTGAGGCGGTTACCACCACCACAGATGGACGATGTCTCACCGGGGCAGACAATATTGCACTCCAATTCAGGGCGCTTAGTGGCACCGGATGTCTCAATGTTGGCCGGATCACCGCAGAAGCACTCTTCTCCATATTCGATGGCAGCAGCCATGTATCCGTATTCGGCACACCGATCGAGACACATCTTAGGCGTCATGACATTGGGGAAAAGTGACTGCCAGAAGAAGGTGCGTTTCTGGTTGATGTTGTCTTCATAACAACCACTGTAGCTCCAGTCACCCACCGTCTCTTTCGGAGCTGGAGGGAGGTCCACTTTGGGCTCGCCACGGGCAACGATGGTGAGTCTATCACCTGCGCCGCACTTTTGGCTTGCGTTTCCTGGACAGTTGATGCTGCACTGGGTATCCGCGATCTTCGCTCCATTGTTAAAGAGGGAGTTTCCGCAGAAGCACTGAAGCCATATTCGGTTCCCGAGATGGTGTATCCTTTTGAGGCGCAATAGGTGGCACAGACGACCTGAGAATTAGTCTGGCTGTCTGGGGCCTGGTGGTTGAGCAGACGACCAGTGGTGCCCTCAGACCAGCAACCTTTATAAGCCCAACCCTCCGGAAGGCCAGTGGCTTGGGGGAATGAAGATGGGACAGCAGAGCTAGAAATGACTGTCGTGCTCGGTGGTTCGGTGCCATTTTTGGCATAGACAGACAATCGGTTTCCAGCACCGCAATACTCTGAGGGTTTACCAGCGCAGGTCATACTGCAATCAGAGTCAGGTGCGGCCACCGATCCAGCGTTGAAGCTGTTTCCACAGTAGCATTCGCGGGAGTACTCAACGCCAAAGTAGGTGTAGGCAGAGCAGAAGGCGCTGCAGGCCTCGAGTGTCATCTCATCAGTCGCGGAAACAGCAGCGCTCAAAGCGCGGTTGCCAGTGGCTTCGGTTCGGCATCCGTACCAAACATAGTTGCCAACGGACGCTGGTTGGGCGGGGCCTGGGGGCTCGGGAACGGCTGAGGATGGAATAGCAATAATGCCGCTAACGGTAGAGGTTGGCGGGAGATCTCCTTTGATGTAGATATTCAGGCGATTACCACCACCACAGAACTCCGTGGTGTTGCCGTTGCAAAGCATGTTGCATCCGCTGGTGGCAGGGGCACCTCCGTTGGAAATACGATTGCCGCAGACTGTTTAAGTTAGCAGGGCTCGTTTGTAGGAAGCTTCGAGAGAACTTACAGCATTCGCCACCAAATTCCACACCCGCGTACTTGTAGCCAGAAGTATTACAAGCGGCAGTGCACTTGTCCACCGTCATGGTTGCGCCTGGGATGGTGCCGACAGCGAAGGTAAGGGTTCTACCCGTTGTTCCCTCCGAGTAGCAACCAAGATGGGAGAAGCCATTGACACCAGGGTTTGCTTGAGGTCCAACAGCGGCAGAGCTGTAGAAGATGGATAGCTTTGAAGGGCCTCCGCAAGGCTCTGTTGCGTTTCCTTTGCAAGCCATGTTGCATTGTGAATCCTCGAGCTTGAGGGCAGTCGAGGCAATGCTCTCACCACAGTAACACTCTTGTGCGTATTGGGTTCCGGCATATTGGAAGCCTCTTGCGGTACAGAAGGAGATACAAGCTTCATTGGTCATATCCTCATCGTCGGCATAGGCGGCCGCGCCAATGGTTCGGTCGACCTCGGTATAGCATCCATCATATTCCCAAACGCCTGGAAGATCGCTTGGTAGCACGAGTTGAGAAAGTGTAAATGGTAGCTAGGTACATGGTTAGCCATTGGTCTTATCTGGACAAAGTAGATATCGAGGATGAAGCTTACAGAAGATAGTAAAAAGGATGTTAAGACGGTCCCCGCTTGAATAGCCCTCATGATGGGCAACTGTTATGTCCTATGACGGACTCCAGTACGACAACAAGTTCAAGGAGAAGGGATAGCGAACATGGAGGAAGCAATAACAGTGACAGAGGCCATGATGGCTATATATCTGCCATTGCCAGGTAACACTGTGGCTGACAGCTTTAGACGATATCAAACCATGACAATAAGAAATGGAAATACGAAGTACCAGTGACTTTTTCATATTTCTGGTTGGAACAGCCTAACGGAAGAGTGACAGGTACCCTTGCGGCCCTTCGTGGTGGTTGCCGGTAAGCGAAAAGCCAAGTTCTTGGTGTGGGATGATGGATGGTTGTCTCGTGCTGCCATGTGAGCGCCGAGAGACAAAGTGTCAGTGTGGTGTCGGCCACCTCATCGTACCAGAAGTGTGAGCTGCTAATGGGCGATATTGCACAGCCCATATTGCTTGCATGACATGGAGCTGGGGGAAGGGAGGGGATCCCGACAGGGGTATACTTCAGCCAAGGAACACACCCCTGGGTTGGACGAGGGTAGCATCGTGTTGGGCCAGCCTTGGGGGAACATACGTACAAGGGAAGATGTTTGTAAATAGCGTTGTATCCCAAATAGCCAACATGGATTGCGATAAGGCGATGGTTTTTTCTTGACCATTTCACTTGGGCGCCGCTGGGAGCCGCTAGTGTCCTCACCAAAACATCTTCGCTCATGGAAATGCAAGGGGGAAGAGGAATTGGCAGAGGTGGTGTAGCCGGCACCATGGGAGCAGCCGGTGGGTGTAGCGAGTACGGCATGATCCGTATAAGTAAGCTCAGGTAAGGTACATGAACTCGCGGCGGTGTAGTGGAATCCAAGCAGTGGGTGAGCATGATTCCGAATCTACACGACAGAAAAACCGCATGGCAGGAGTACTCGCGAGACAGTGAGTTTCGTCGTCGGCGGATAGGCGTTTGATGCTGTGTTACCACACTTGTGGCCTGGGGTGTGTAAGTCCAAGCTCATTGTGAGTGGTCGCCAAGGTAGTATTTGTTCACCAGGACGGTCTTCAACGGTCAGCATCATACTGTACTGCCGTGCTGGTCTGCTGCTGTGAGCGAGGCAACGGCTGCACTACAACCTGGAAATGTCATTGTTCCATCTTCGCTTCCATACCAGAAAAGCTGGAGAAAGGTCATGGCAGGATCGGGTCATTCTCGGCTGGCCGATTTTCCATGCAGTAAAGCCGGACTTTTGTAACAGTTGATGTGGAGATTAACTGCAGCAGGGTGACCGAGGCCGACTTGTTGTCGACTCGTATCACCCCGGTTGAGTTGTATGAGTGCGGCGAGTGGTTGAGTGTAAGTTGATGGGAACCGATGAGGTACCACCCCCATGCAATCCATGTGAAGGGTAGATACTCGGGTGGTATCCAAGGCTTTTGCACGGTGACCAATCCTATCCTCGAGGATTCAGCCCTCTACGATCACCTTCGGACCCTGACCAGAACCCTGCGAGAGGAAAAAGGAAGTCAATGGCGAGTTGCATCAAGATATCTGAGAACACTTGCCTGGGTCAGCCTTTCCAGAGTGCCACCACAAGCCACACGAAGCCCTCTGAAGCCATGGGCCAATGTGGGCATTCCCATCATCGGGATGGCTAACCAAGGTATCATTGGCATGGAAACACAATGGTCCTCGCGGTCTGGCCTTGTGCCGCCATTTCAGAGCCGAGGGTCGCCTGTGGCGCAGAGTTGCTGATTGATCATGGATCTGGTGATGCGCTGACGATGGTGGTGGAGATTGGTGTTGCAAGACATTCTTGAGTGCCGAGAAATGGAAGTTGAAGACAGAGCTCTGACCGGCGTGAGTGTCTCGGCCCACAGAACAGCCCAGCCCATCAAATTGTCTTGATTGTCTCGAATATATCCAATTCTAGACGGTGGAAGGCAGGAGAGAAGGAGGGCTCCATGCCCTGTGACCAGAGTTGAAGCCCGGGCTCTTGCTCATTGACCGATCGGTCGAGAGAGGCGTTCGCTCTTTCCCAAATTGTCTTTCTTCATTCCTTCAGGCACACCGCGATTCTCCCATCATGACGAGCGGGGAAGGTACTAGGTAGTACCGGGTACCTTGCAGATTTCAGTCCGTCAGGTATCTCCTCCAATCCTGAAATTTCTGCACTTGATGTGCCTTCCCGGACTTTGATTTTCGTCGAATTTTCGCTCATGGTCCAGAGAAATCTTTCGGAACACCAACCTATGACAGAACAACACCCACGTGCGCCCGGACAATCCCACTGTTGTTGTGATAAAGAGGGCATTGGCGCAACGCCATCTCGCTCTTCGCGATCGTCCTGTTGGCCGTCCTGGTTCCTGATACCATCCTCCTCCAGATTCGAGTCACCTAAAGTGTGTCGCCTGTTCCGTTCAATCTGTGACTGACTATTGCTTCCGAAAAGAGCTGAAAGAGTCGAAAAGGTTTAACGTCGATCAAACGAGCCCGCGATGAAACCTCAAACCGGAGCATTCCGCGGACCTCGCTGAAAGAGAAAGCGTCGCTTGAGGTTGTCTCTGCCACACCTTCCTGTCACCGTGGTTGTCAAGTGAAGGATTGATCCAGAATGGCGTTGCCGTACTGTGGTCACACTGGGGTTAGGGTTAAGAGAGCTTCGCTGTTCCTCTTGCCCCACCTTGTGAAGGAGTGGTGGGTCCGTGCAAGCTTCAAGGTACCTGACTCTCCTCTCTCGAATCGCTCTTTTTGCTCTCTGCAACTCTCATCACTTTCATCCTAACAATTGTGATAACTGTGCTACAGATCGACTGACAATACTCGTTCTCTTCCAATTTCACAGAATAATGATACCTCGAAGCGCAACCCAAGCTCAGCCGATCGATACCTTAGTTACTGAACGCGGGGCCTCTCAGCGACACCGGCGCTTCGAGGCTTCCAGCTGCTCGAACAACCCCGCCATCACCAACTGACGACTCCTTCCATTGACCCATGAGGAAGTTCTTGGGCGAACCGTCAGCTGAACTTTGCTTCACCCGCCAAGTTTAGGGGCGCCATCTTGTTGTCGATATCTCGCTTTGGACTGCCTCCATGGGAAATAAGCACATCAAAGCTCCAAAGAGAGAATGCTCGCCAAGCATCTCCAAGAACTTCAATGTCAGCCTCAGTGGTTTTTAAGTCCGAATCGTCATCTGGGCACTCCTCATTACCAGAACTGACGCCGCAAGAAAACAAACTGCAAGATCTCGGGTAATGGACTGCATACGATTCGCACTTTCAACCACGCAGCACGAGGCGGTCAAGTCAACATGTCCATCACGAGAGCCCAGCCCTGCACAATCAGCATCTTGCCATATTCCACGGCTCGGCACCGCCAAAAGCAAGGAGAAATCTCCGGGATGAACTACGCAACCAATGAATTGTCTCCCCTACGGCTTCTGTACCACTCTTCCTATTTTTGGTCAAAGGCCGCTCAAGCCAACCTTAACGGAAGAAAGAGGCCCATCAATCCACAATACAGTGGCCTGAACCTTGGACTTGGGATCGTGAACAACCTGCCATCAACCACAAGGGAGTTGGGCGTCGACTCTCGAGTGTAACCCACACGCTTTGGGAAGCATCCTTCGGCCCAATAACCGCTTACTATCTTTATCGCATTTATCACTTCTTATCACCACCGAACAATCATTAGCCCCCCGCAAAACGTCCTGTCTTTGGCATGACCTGACAGCATACCCAGATGGGGTTGAAAGGGCTGAATGAACCGGTCTTTGTAGCTGTCTCCACGGCATACACCAACGGCCCGCTTAAGTCAGTCCTTGTACGACCAGCGTCTCTGACCGCAACCCATAGGAAAAGCCTCCAAAGTCAGAGTTACCTTACCATTAGGTCACACAAAGACCAATCACAAGACTCTATTGCCATGAGCCAACCTCAATGGCTTATCACCAAGCAACCTATTACTCAGAGTCGTTCAATCATTCAAATGTGCTCATCATATCCTATCTCCTTTCGGATGCCTATATCAGGAAGCCCATCAACCATCCCGGACACTTCCACACCGTGATGCGTTGTTGCCCGGAAACCTCGTATCCGACGATGGCACTCTCTTGATGACATGGGACTGCTCTATGCAAGGCATAACGCACAGTTGTCACAACTTTGCACTTGATGTCCAAAGGCTGAATCTGACAGTTTTGGTGGCGGACGTACCCCGACTTGGTGTATCCCAAGTTCTTGAGTCCCGATTTGACCTTACCACGGAGGAAAGAGATGTCACCATGTCTCAAGGCCTTTTCGTGGAACATGTATCGGGGTATGATCTGACTTCAAGCAAGGATCTTTCAGCCTGCCGACCGGCCGACTGTAGGATGACTTCCATGAAAGTATATGCAGTCCTTCAAGACACTGGCCGGCATTATCCTCAGCGGTGGTGGTGCGAGGCTTCATCGGACTTACACCGTCTGACTGCTTTCAATATTACCCAATTTGCATCCTACTGGCGCTGCTATCCTACCTTGCTACGCAAACATGGCACGAGTTTACACCCAACATTTCCAAACATCGTATGGCTTTCCAGTGTCGGATATCGTTCTTGATTCGGCTTGGCGCTGAAGTCCTGCGGCTGCCATTTCCTCTGTCATCCTGATTTCTTATGGATGAGATTAATCACAATGCCCGATTGCACAAGGTTTCTAGTTTAGCTTGTTGATTGACAACAGAGCACGTTCTTAACCCGTTCAGCCGCATCAACCAATCCGCCTTGAGCTATCACACTGGACGATCGCCCGGCACAGGATGGGTGACCTTAAAGACTGCTTTCACCGAGCATTTGGGTCGCCTCCACGGCGGCATTGCCGAACCAAAATGAACTCTACCACGGTCTGGGCTGCAGTTGACCGCGGGGGAGCGTATCACGTATCTGGTGTCGGTGCGGAATTCGGCAGGTCTTTCCTCAACCATCCAACCTCAGCTGCGCAAGCCCTGTCAGCCTTGGAACATCGCTGGACGACGAGAGCGATGGAACCTTTC